GACTAAATCAAGGAATAAACCAGGACTAAACCAAGGACTAAAAAACAGGTCTAAACAAAAACTAAACCAGGTCTAAACCAGGTCTAAACAAGGACAAAACAAGGACTAAAACCAGGACTAAACCAGGACTAAACCAGGTCTAAACCAGGTCTAAACAAGAACTAAAACAGGAACAAAACTAGGCCTAAACAAGGACTAAACCAGGTCTAAAAAAAAACTAAACCAGGACTAAACAAAGACCAGGAGCAGAACAGAAATGTAGACGCTGAAGGGTTTTCAATAAACTTTGAAATGTGACTGAATAAATCATATTTTTTGTTGCTTCTTTTTTCATTTCTGAGTCAGAACTTAAACCCTCCTGAGTCTGAGCAGCGTCACAACGAGATTTACTGATTTTATAAAGAAACACGATTCATCTTCTGCAGAATTGAGTTAAACGTTTTGGCCTCCACAATATTTTCTGTTTCTCAAAAAAATAATTACCAGCCCTGATTTAAAACATTCAACAGCAGCCAAATAAATAAACAAAGAGTCTTGCATCCACGGAAATGCCCGGAATGTTCCACAGTTTGGCATTAAACTTGGCCTGATGGAGTCGCCTGTTACGGGTCAGATCTGTGGAGCCTGAGGTGACTCTGCTCACAGTGAGAATGTGTTTTGAATGATTTTTCTACACCTGTAATTGCATAAAAGTAGAATAAATACATTTAATGCCACTGTGGAACATTCCAGGCAGCGCAAATAAACATAAAATACCTCGTGTCCGTTCATAAGTTCTGTTCAGACCGGAGAAAAAAAAAAAAAACGCTCTGGACGCCTCGAGTTGGAGCTTTGACATTTGAGTTCAGACGCCGCAGACCAACAGGACAAACACACTCGACGCGTCCAGAGCCTCAGTTTGTCCTGGAAAAAAGTGTCATTCCTCAGTCTTGGTCCAGAACAAAAGACCAGACGGAGACTTTAGTGTTTTTATTACATCAACTCATCAGGAGATCGACTCCACTAATGACACTGGTCCTGGTCCAGTCCTGGTCCAGTCCTGGTCCAGTCCTGGTCCAGTCCTGGTGTAGTCCTGGTCCAGTCCTGTCCAGTCCTGGTCCAGTCCTGGTGTCCAGTCCTGGTCCAGTCCTGGTCCAGTTCTGGTGTAGTCCTGGTCCAGTCCTGTCCAGTCCTGGTCCAGTCCTGGTTTTGTGTCCTGGTTTAGTCCTGGTTTAGTCCTGGTTTAGACCTGGTTTAGTCCTGGTTTAGTCCTGGTTTAGTCCTGGTTTAGTCCTGGTGTAGTCCTGGTTTAGACCTGGTTTAGTCCTGGTTTAGTCCACGTGGACTCTGTGTGTGAACTGGACGTCTCTGGTCTGAACAGAACTTCACTGTTAAAGTGTTTGATTTAAATCATTTCATATTCAACTGGTAAAACTTTAATGTAACGACTGAATAATTCAGTAATAAAATCACAGAAACATTCAGCTGAAGAAAATGAAAACTGCTCGTTACAAATGAACCGAAAACTGTAATTAAAAGTTTCCCCAGACTCTGGTGGTTCATTCTGGGGGAAACACATTTAAAATAAAACGATGTAGTTGAAGACAGGAGGTGTGGTTCACCTGTGACGCCTCAGGTCCTTGATCTCCACACTGAGCAGCGGGAGAAACGCCGAGCCACAGAAAGGACACGAGCTGTTCAGGTTGGAGTCGTTGGACGTCCACCCGGCCATGATCTCCTCATCGTACACCAGACCCTCACACGTCTGACAGCGACTGCAGCTGGACACCAGGACCTGAGGACCACGACCAGAAGAACAGAAGAACCAGAAGAACAGAAGAACATGGAGAAAAGAAACACGGATGAGTTTAAAGGTCCAACAGCACAAACTGACGCATGTGAGGTTTAGGTCAATGTTCTGATCAAAACAAACCTCAAAACCTCAAACTCAGAGCTGGAGTCGTGTTTGTTTGAGTAAATCTTTATTCTGAGTCTGTCACATCTCCAAATCTCCAAACTCTCTGTTCCACCTTGTGATGTCATGAAGTTCTCAGCTCCTTTTCCCTTTAGTTCAGTCGAGATTGGGAACTCCAGGACTGAAATGATCCAGATGATTCTAATGAAGGTGTGTGGAGTTTAAAAACACAGTGGAGCACTTCCTGTATCACCACATGATGACATCACGAGGTGGAACAGAGGACGCGCCTGAAAGAGCCACTGGGGAGTCGCGACACACGTGAAGAAAAAACACGTGTGTCCACATGTGCAGCAGGACTGAGGTCAGTGTTTGTGCCAGAATCAGCTGTAAAATGATGTCGCCATGACGACCAACTCAGAAGTCTAAACCAGGACTAAACCAGGACTAAACCAGGACTAAACCAGCACACAGGGCCTGGGGTCCATCTCCATGATCTTGTAGTTGGTGTTGGTCTGGACCTTAACTGGAGGATTTTACTTCTGGTTCGTGTTTTGGGCTCGTGGAGGAACCCAGAGTCCAGAAGAAACCCGCCCAAACACGGGGAGAACATGCAAACTCAGACAACCCAGAACCTTCTTACTGTGAGGCGTGAGTTTGAGAGAAGAACTCGTGAGTTAAACATGTGAATGAAACAAAAACAAATCTCCAGGTCTGTGTGTGACGAGACTCTAGAACCAGAACAACGTCAGAACAGAGAAGAACGTGTTTTCAAACCTCCACGGAGAAGCTGGGCGACGGCTGGAAGCGTCCGGTTTCTGGAGACGATTCTGGAGTGTGAGGAGACCTGGAGGCCAGAGCCAAACCTCCTACAAGAAGAGAAAAAAACAACAACGTTCAAATATTTCAGCAACTTTCAACCCTCTGACTCCTGGCGATCGTTCTGTTCTAATTGTGTCATTTTAAATTTCAATATTGATCTAAAACAACTGGGAAGGAAAAAGTGAGGATCAAACCTCCATGTTTGTTTTCCCAGTGGGACGTGTCTGTTGTCAGAGTCGATCTTCTCAAGTCTTTTGAACCATTTCACTTTTGTTTCTGGTTCTGATATTGTCATATTTTAGTTTTGGGATTCGGACATCGTTAATTGTTGTGGTTGTTGGATCCAAACAGCGGAAAACGACTCGAGAAATGTGTTTGTGAACTTTATAAATGCAAAAGTGAATCAGATGTGTGTGACTCAAACCTCCTGTTCAAACTGTTTCTCTTCCCAACGAATTGAAAAATAGTGAAAGGTGAAGGTGATGGGCAGGATTGATCCACAGGAAGAACCAAAAAGGAAACATTTGTCTAAGAAATCATCCCGAGTTTACAGAGAACATTTTGTATGTGGAGCGACGATCCGTGTTTTATTCGTTCGTTCGTTTTTCAATATAAAACCAAAAATAAGAAAACGAAAAAACAACAGTTTTCTTCATTATTTGTCTCCAAAACCAAAATGAAATGTTTAAATGAAAAATGGAAAAAATGGATAACGGCCGTTTCCCGTTTACATGACTTCAGTGACTGTGATGACGAACTTTTGCACCGCGTACGGACTGAACCAGGACTGATCCAGGTCCGAAACCAGACTGGGACCAGACCGGGACCAGTGGTGTCATCGTCTGTGCGCTGGTTCCGTGTGGGGAAAGTGAGATGTTCTGTGGACTACAGGTCTGGACGGAGCTGCTCTGGTCCTCCACACTCAAGAACCACGACTGGTTCCGAGGTGGAGCAAAGGATCCAACTGACGCTTTCACACCAACGAAAATGAACCGAACTAAGAGCTTTTGGTTCAAATGGACCAGACCAGGACCAGACCAGGACCAGACCGGAGACTCAGAGCCCACGGCAGGACCGGAGCTCGAAGCTGAGGCTCAGACCCCGCGGAGGCTCAGAGTCCACTCTGGTCCCACTCTGGTCCCACTCTGGTCCCAGTCTGGACTCGGACCTGGATCAGTCCTGGTTCAGTCTGTACATGGTACAAAAGTTCGGCATCACAGTCACTGAAGTCATGTAAACGGGAAACAGACGTTATCCATTTTTTCCAGTTTTCATTTAAACACAAAATCGAAAACGGAAAAAACAAATCATTTTCTGTTTTTTCATTTTGGTTTTGGAGACAAATAATGAAGAAAACTGTTGTTTTTTCGTTTTCTTATTTTTGGTTTTATATTGAAAAACGAATGAACAAATGACACACAGATTAGCGACAACAAAACAAAATCCCGATCCCTCGTTCAAACTCGGTTATGAATTTAAAAAGTCCAGAACCAGGACTAAACCAGGACTAAACCAGGACTGAACCAGGACTGAACCAGGACTAAACCAGGTCTAAACCAGGACTAAACCAGGACTAAACCAGGACTAAACCAGGACTGAACCAGGACTGAACCAGGTCTAAACCAGGACTGAACCAGGACTGAACCAGGTCTAGACCAGGACTGAACCAGGTCTAGACCAGGACTGAACCAGGACTAAACCAGGTCTAGACCTGGCTGTGGGCCCCTCGTCACTAGAACAGAACATTTTTTTTAACATTTGGACCAAAACGAGTCGGCGTCGCTCTCAGTTCTACGAGTTTCACCCATAAAAAGGTCAGAGTGGAGAAAGTCCACTGACCAGAGAAGGAGTTGTGTCTGAAGACGCGGTCGGGGCTGCTGGGGCTGCGCCGGGGCCCCCTGCTGGTCGGGTGCTGCGGCGACGTGAGGCCCTCAGGGTCCAGGGTCACATCAGTGTCCAGCAGAGAACAACAGTCTGTGTCTGAGGTCAGAGACGAGAGGCTCAACACGTCCACGTTCACGTCCTGAAACAGAAGCACGAGTTAAACCAGGACTAAACCAGGACTAAACCAGGACTAAACCAGGTCTAAACCAGGTCTAAACCAGGTCTAAACCAGGACTAAACCAGGTCTAAACCAGGACTAAAACCAGGTCTAAACCAGGACTAAACCAGGTCTAAACCAGGACTAAACCAGGACTAAAACCAGGACTAAACCAGGACTGAACCAGGTCTAAACCAGGACTAAACCAGGACTAAACCAGGACTAAACCAGGTCTAAACCAGGACTAAACCAGGTCTAAACCAGGACTAAACCAGGACTAAACCAGGACTAAACCAGGACTAAACCAGGACTGAACCAGGACTAAACCAGGACTAAACCAGGACTAACCAGGACTAAACCAGGACTAAACCAGGACTAAACCAGGACTAAACAGGACTAAACCAGGACTAAACCAGGACTAAACCAGGACTGAACCAGGACTAAACCAGGACTAAAACCAGGACTAAACCAGGACTAAACCAGGTCTAAACCAGGACTAAACCAGGGTCTAAACCAGGACTAAACCAGGACTAAACCAGGACTAAACCAGGGTCTAAACCAGGACTAAACCAGGACTAAACCAGGACTAAAACCAGGACTAAACCAGGACTAAACCAGGACTAAACCAGGTCTAAACCAGGACTAAACCAGGACTAAACCAGGACTAAACCAGGTCTAAACCAGGACTAAACCAGGACTAAACCAGGACTAAACCAGGACTCTCTAAACCAGGACTAAACCAGGACTAAACCAGGACTAAACCAGGACTAAACCAGGACTAAACCAGGACTAAACCAGGACTAAACCAGGTCTAAACCAGGACTAAACCAGGACTAAACCAGGACTAAACCAGGACTAAACCAGGACTAAACCAGGACTAAACCAGGACTAAACCAGGTCTAAACCAGGACTAAAAAACCAGGACTAAACCAGGACTAAACCAGGACTAAACCAGGACTAAACCAGGACTAAACAACTAAACCAGGACTAAACCAGGACTAAACCAGGACTAAACCAGGACTAAACCAGGACTAAACCAGGACTAAACCAGGTCTAAACCAGGTCTAAACCAGGACTAAACCAGGGACTAAACCAGGACTAAACCAGGACTAAACCAGGACTAAACCAGGACTAAACCAGGTCTTAAACCAGGACTAAACCAGGACTAAACCAGGACTAAACCAGGTCTAAACCAGGACTAAACCAGGACTAAACCAGGACTAAACCAGGTCTAAACCAGGACTAAACCAGGACTAAACCAGGACTAAAACCAGGACTAAACCAGGACTAAACCAGGTCTAAACCAGGGACTAAACCAGGACTAAACCAGGACTAAACCAGGACTAAACCAGGACTAAACCAGGACTAAAACCAGGACTAAACCAGGTCTAAACCAGGACTAAAACCAGGTCTAAACCAGGACTAAACCAGGACTAAACCAGGACTAAACCAGGACTAAACCAGGACTAAAAACCAGGGACTAAACCAGGACTAAACCAGGTCTAAACCAGGACTAAACCAGGTCTAAACCAGGGACTAAACCAGGACTAAACCAGGACTAAACCAGGACTAAACCAGGACTAAACCAGGACTAAACCAGAGACTAAAACGGGGCTAAACCAGGTCTAAACCAGGACTAAACCAGGACTAAACCAGGACTAAACCAGGACTAAACCAGGACTAAACCAGGTCTAAACCAGGACTAAACCAGGACTAAACCAGGGACTAAACCAGGTCTAAACCAGGACTAAACCAGGGACTAAACCAGGACTAAACCAGGACTAAACCAGGACTAAACCAGGACTAAAACCAGGACTAAACCAGGTCTAAACCAGGACTAAACCAGGACTAAACCAGGACTAAACCAGGAACTAAAACCAGGACTAAACCAGGACTAAACCAGGACTAAACCAGGTCTAAAACCAGGACTAAACCAGGTCTAAACCAGGACTAAACCAGGACTAAACCAGGACTAAACCAGGACTAAACCAGGACTAAACCAGGACTAAACCAGGTCTAAACCAGGACTAAACCAGGTCTAAACCAGGACTAAACCAGGTCTAAACCTAAACCAGGACTAAACCAGGACTAAACCAGGACTAAACCAGGACTAAACCAGGACTAAACCAGGACTAAACCAGGTCTAAACCAGGACTAAACCAGGACTAAACCAGGTCTAAACCAAGTCTAAACAAAGTCTAAACCAGGACTAAACCAAGACTAAACAAAGTCTAAACCAGGAACCAGGACTAAACCAGGACTAAACCAGGACTAAACCAGGTCTAAACCAGGACTAAACCAGGTCTAAACCAGGACTAAACCAGGACTAAACCAGGTCTAAACCAGGTCTAAACCAGGACTAAACCAGGACTAAACCAGGACTAAACCAGGACTAAACCAGGTCTAAACCAGGACTAAACCAGGGACTAAACCAGGTCTAAACCAGGTCTAAAACCAGGTCTAAACCAGGACTAAACCAGGACTAAACCAGGACTAAACCAGGTCTAAACCAGGTCTACTAAACCAGGACTAAACCAGGACTAAACCAGGACTAAACCTCTAAACCAGGACTAAACCAGGACTAAACCAGGTCTAAACCAGGACTAAACCAGGACTAAACCAGGTCTAAACCAGGACTAAACCAGGTCTAAACCAGGACTAAACCAGGACTAAACCAGGTCTAAACCAGGACTAAACCAGGACTAAACCAGGACTAAACCAGGTCTAAACCAGGACTAAACCAGGACTAAACCAGGACTAAACCAGGTCTAAACCAGGACTAAACCAGGACTAAACCAGGACTTAAACCAGGTCTAAACCAGGTCTAAACCAGGACTAAACCAGGGACTAAAACTAAACCAGGACTAAACCAGGTCTAAACCAGGTCTAAACCAGGACTAAACCAGGTCTAAACCAGGTCTAAACCAGGACTAAACCCTAAACCAGGACTAAACCAGGACTAAACCAGGTCTAAACCAGGACTAAACCAGGACTAAACCAGGACTAAACCAGGTCTAAACCAGGACTAAACCAGGACTAAACCAGGACTAAACCAGGTCTAAACCAGGGACTAAACCAGGTCTAAACCAGGACTAAACCAGGTCTAAACCAGGACTAAACCAGGACTAAACCAAGTCTAAACCAGGACTGAACCAGGACTAAACCAGGACTAAAACATGTTTGAACCTGGACTAAATCGGAACTTAACCAAGTCTAAAACAAATCTCAGACCGAGACTAAACTGATTTTCATTAATTTAAAGTCGTTAACTCCAGCCCAAGTCCAGACCAGGTCCACACCAGGTCTGAATCAGGATCAGACCAGGACTGGACCAGAACCAAACCAGGACTAAAACAAATCATAGAAATCTCAACAAGACTTTCACAGGACAGAACTAAACTCCAGCAGGTAAACCCCACTCCAGGTGTGACCCAGGTCCGGTCTTTCTCAGGGACGGCTCAGTTATCAAAGTATAGTTCATGCTGGGGGTGTTCTACATGCACCTCTACTGGCTGAATGTTCAGCGGTTACGGTGGTGACACAAATACAGACAAAAAAAGTTTTAACCTCGTCTGAAAACGTCATAAATAATCCCAGAGCCCAGGTTCATTCCCTGTGATGAGTCCGAGTATTTGAGCGACGGAGCTTCAGACAGAGCAGTGCTTCAGTTAGCGCGCTCACCTGCGACAGCGAGGTCTGAGACGACAGGCGCGAGTAGAGCCGGCTCGCCTTCTCGGCCACGCCCTTCCCCGCCGAGATCACGCTGCTCCTGAAGATGCCGAGCGTGGGCGTGAACAGGGCGTCCATGGAGAAGGAGGAGCCCGTGGACGGCGTGGGCGACGACGGCGACTTCAGGGGGGACGCTCGCTCCCGCAGCTCCCCCAGAGGCAGGGAGGGGGACTGACGCAGACGCTCTTTGGTCTTGGGCGGCAGGGGCAGGTTGGAGGTGGAGCGGTGCAGCGTGGAGGCTCTGGGGGAGGAGATGGAGGAGCTGGAGGAGGTGGAGGCGTCCTGAGGTTCACGCGGTGTCGTCTTGGAGGTCCTCGCCGTGTCCAAGCTCTCACCCGCCCCGTCCTGACCGCTCTCACCCGCCCCCCCGACCTGAGCGCTCTCTTGGGGCTTGTCCACCTCCACCTCCTCCTGGACCTGGTAGAGTCCGTCGGGGCAGAGGTGAGGAGCGGAGACCCTGACTGAGGCCTCCTGACCCCCGCAGAGCTCCAGAGACCGGGGCCGCTCCAGTCTGGAGGTGAGCGCGCTGAGAGCGGAGTCTGCACACGCCGGCCGGACACTCGGACCTGCAGGAGAACATCACAGTTTAGCTCCAGGTCTGACACCAGGTCACGACATGAAGCTCCACATCTCACTGCAGACAAATACTGAGATAAAAGACGACACTCAAACTACTTTATGACACTGAAACAAAAACAGTAAAGCAGGAGAATCTCAGTAAAACCATTTTTAAATTTATAATAAAATAAAAAGGCCTGAGCTGAAACAGATCAACAGCAAAATGAAGCAATGTGTGAAAAATCCCTCAGTCGTTCAGGTGGAATCCACAGAAAAATTAGGAATTCAATTTGTCAACTGGACAAAGTTTATTTGGTTGAATCTGTTTCTCAGCTCATCCAAGCTGCTGCTTCAGTTCTGGTCAGACTCTGGTGACACTTCCTTATATCTGTTTGCAGAGAGGAGCTAACTACTCTGATTCCTGAGTTGGTTTCACTTGGTGGAAACCGTGTGACCTGCAGCATTAGGATTCGTTCACTCGACAGGAGACGGGGACTTTTTTTATTGAACCAATCGCTGCTGTTTGGTCGTGACGTTTGTAAAGCTCCAAATCTCACAGGAAGAAGAACAATAACGTCTTTCCCCGAGATCAAATTCACCAAACATTCTCTTTGTTCCAACTTTAAATCCTCGATCTCGGGGAATCGCTGACAACACAGAATGTCTGTCTCTTCTCTGATTGGCTGGTGCCCGGACTCGTACTTCCGGGGCTTTTACAAACCTTCGAGTGTTTTCTGATTCCTGATCTAGTCACTGGAGAGAAATGAAATTGAGCGGAGGCACTAGGGGGCATCAGCCTGGCTAGGAGCTAACTACACTGAGACTACTCTGAAACTAACACACACTGTTTACAGTTTGTGTTTGTCGCTCGGCCTGTTGATTCTTTTTCTTAACAAAAACAGCTTCTTTAACTCCCCTCTCAAACCAAGGGGAGTTAAAGAACCTGTTTTTTTAAGACAGAGAATCCTTCTTTAAACAGACATGGACTCAGACATCATCTGTCTCCTACTTACACGTCCATCCTCAAACCTAAAACAAACAAGAGAAAAACAGGTTCTTCACGCCTCAGGTCAGGTCCAGAGGAGTGAAAGCTCCATTATGGCCCTGAGTGATTCTGCTGACCTGATCCACACTCAGTGCAGGTCAACAGACCGAACTAACAAACACAAACTGTAAACAGTGTGTGTGTTAGTTTCAGAGTAGTTTCAGTGTAGTTAGCTCCTCCCTTCAGACAGATATAAGGAAGTGTCACCAGAGTCTGACCAGGACTGAAGAAGCTGCTTGGACGAGCCGAGAAACAGATTCAACCAAATAAACTTTGTGTAGTCGACAAATTTAATTTCTCCTTTTGCCAAAAATGAGGCAATGTTCAGCCACAGAAGTCACTTATCTCACTGATGACCAATAAAACTCAAAATGTACAGTCCCATCTTTCAGGTTTTGAACAATAAGTAAATAAAGAGATTATTGTGACGGGCTTTTGTAGCTCTAGATCTGCTGTGAGCTTTTTGATTTAACTGTACTGTATTTTTGTTTTGTTTTGTTTTACATAAAATGCAGCAAGAAAATTGCATCATAAGAAACATGAACAGAGAGAGACTGACCCGGCGGCGCCCTCTGTCCTCGGTCCTCGGTCACTGCAGCCTCAGCGTCCCTCACACACAGACGCTCCTCTTCTTTGGACAGAGAGTCGTAGCCCTGATCCGACTGACCTCCTGCACAAACACAAACACAGAGCTGTTAGAACCTCTAAGAAGACTGAGAACATCTGACCCAGACCCTGACCCTGACCCTGACCCTGACCCTGGACCCTAACCCTGACCCTGATCCTGGTCCTGCTCAGTGTGTGGTAGTTTTGGGTGATTCTCTGATTTTGATCAAACCTGTATTAAATATAAATTAGAGTTTTACACAAATCAAGATGCAGTTTGGGAAGAAAAGTTTAAACCAAATAAAGATGTTTTCACATATTTGTATTTGTCAAATATTCTTGGGTCTGGGCTCTGGGTTCATCGTGGCTGAGTTTGCAGTTTTGGAATTCCCAGTGTGATGTCATGATTTACAACCAGGAAATTAAATCCGAAACGTAAAAAATTGCCAAACTGGATTTTTAAAAATGAAAATATAAATTATTCATTAAAATGTTAATGCGCTTTCACAAAAAGCTGCTCACATCTGCAGCTGAAACACGAGTCAGAAAACTCCACCAGGAAACGTTCAGACAACAGATGGTTTTGTTTTTCATTTTTCATGTTTTGTTTTTCGTTTTTCTTGTTTTGTTTTTCGTGTTTCTTGTTTCGTTTTTCATGTTTCTTGTTTTGTTTTTCGTGTTTCTTCGTGTTTCATGCCTCGTGTTTTGTGTTTCTTGTGTCATTTTTCGCGTTTCATTTTTCATGTTTCGTGTTTTGTTTTTTGTGTTCTGTGTTTCGTGTTCCATGTTTTTTTTTTCATGTTCTGTTTTGTGTTCTGTTCCATGTTCCGTGTTTTGAGTTTCATTTTTCGTGTTCTGTGTTTAGTTTTATGTGTTCCATGTTTCATGTTTTGTGTTCCATGTTCAGTGTTTCTTTGTTTCTTGTTTCTTGTTCCGTGTTTCATGTTTTGTTTTTGGTGTTTTGTGTCTCGTGTTTCATGTTCCGTGTTCTGTGCTTCATGTTCTGTGTTTCTTTGTTTTGTGTTTCTTGTTTCGTGTTCCATGTTCTTTGTTTCATGTTTTCCGTGTTCCGTGTTTGGTGACCTGTGCTGAAGCCGTCGTCGCTGGAGTCGATTTTGGCGAAGTCGGCGTCGAGGGACATTCGCTCGGTGGAGTCGTTGGTGCTGTCCTCACTGCCGTGACTCACCGTGTCCAGGTCGCTCCCATCTGAGGGGACAAGGACAGAGGACGGACCGGGAGACAGACAGGACAGAGAGGAAAGTGAGGGGAGAATAAACTGACAAAGGTGTAAAACTGAACCTGAATTCTATCACATATTTATTTGTTGTTTATCATTTTTGTATAAAGATCAGAACGACTCATGAGAAGAAGAGAAGAAGAACAGACGGAAAATGTCTTTGACTCTGAGACTGAGCGTGTGGACCTGAGTGAGGACCTGAGTGTGGACCTGAGTGAGGACCTGAGTGAGGACCTGAGTGAGGACCTGAGTGAGGACCTGAGTGTGGACCTGAGTGAGGACCTGAGTGTGAGGACCTGAGTGAGGACCTGAGTGTGGGACCTGAGTGTGGACCTGAATGTGGACCTGAGTGAGGACCTGAGTGCTGAGGACCTGAGTGAGGACCTGAGTGAGGACCTGAGTGAGACCTGAGTGTGGACCTGAGTGAGGACCTGAGTGAGGACCTGAGTGTGAGGACCTGAGTGTGGACCTGAGTGAGGACCTGAGGACCTGAGTGTGGACCTGAGTGAGGACCTAAGTGAGGACCTGAGTGTGGACCTGAGTGAGGACCTGAGTGCTGAGGACCTGAGTGAGGACCTGAGTGAGGACCTGAGTGAGGACCTGAGTGTGGACCTGAGTGAGGACCTGAGTGAGGACCTGAGTGCTGAGGACCTGAGTGTGGACCTGAGTGAGGACCTGAGGACCTGAGTGTGGACCTGAGTGAGGACCTGAGTGAGACCTGAGTGTGGACCTGAGTGAGGACCTGAGTGCTGAGGACCTGAGTGGACCTGAGTGAGGACCTGAGAGCTGCGGGTCTTTGTTGGGACTCGGTTGTTTCTTCAGGGCCTGTTTGAACTGAACCACACACAGGACGATGTTCCGCAGTTTCCTCCACATGAAGTAGCCCCCCCTGGTGGTGGACGGCCACGTGCTCTCCAACACGGCCTGCACACATGAACATCACACCACTGTTACCTAGCAACCAAACACCACACCACTGTTACCTAGCAACAGTGATCATCGGCGACGGCGGAGCGTTTATATTTATTCTAATGACATGTTCTGACGTTGATGTTGTCCTAGTGTTTGTGGTTCCCGGGTCTTTCTCTTTCTTCTTCATCTTTCAGGTAATAACGTCACTACATCACTCGATAGTCATCCCTGATTGGTCAACGCCAGATTCGTGAAGCACTGATGAGTGAAGATGCGCCGCAAAATGTAAGATGCCCCAAACACACGTCCACATAGACTTTGTGTGTGAACCGGGCGCATTGACGCTCGGGTCTGAACACACTATAATGCACTGATCTGATGTACACAATAATCAGATTATAATTAGACAAATTAAGATAAATTACAACGAAACTCTGCTAAGTATTCACCACGTCGATTATCCACCAAAGTTACTCCCATAAACTTCCGTAAACTCCTGTAAACTTCTGTAAACTCCCGTAAACTTCTGTAAACTCCTGTAAACTCCTGTAAACTCCTGTAAACTTCTGTAAACTTCTGTAAACTTCTGTAAACTCCCGTAAACTTCTGTAAACCCCCGTAAACTAACTTCTGTAAACTCCTGTAAACTCCTGTAAACTCTGTGAACTTCTGTAAACTCTGTAAACTCTGTAAACTTCTGTAAACTCTGTAAACTTCTGTAAACTCCTGTAAACTTCCTGTAAAACTCCTGTAAACTCCTGTAAACTTCTGTAAACTTCTGTAAACTCCTGTGAACTTCTGTAAAACTCTGTAAACTTCTGTAAACTCCTGTAAACTTCTGTAAACTTCTGTAAACCCGTAAACTTCTGTAAAACCCTGTAAACTCCGTAAACTCCTGTAAACTCCTGTAAACTCCTGTAAACTTCTGTGAACTTCTGTAAACTCCTGTGAACTTCCGTAAACTCCTGTAAACTTCTGTAAACTCCTGTAAACTCCTGTAAACTTCTGTGAACTTCTGTAAACTTCTGTGAACTTCTGTAAACTCCTGTAAACTTCTGTAAACTCCTGTAAACTCCTGTAAACTTCTGTAAACTCCTGTAAACTTCTGTAAACCCCCGTAAACTAACTTCTGTAAACTCCCGTAAACTCCTGTAAACTTCTGTAAACTCCTGTAAACTCCCGTAAACTTCTGTAAACTCCCGTAAACTTCTGTAAACTCCTGTAAACTCCTGTAAACTTCTGTAAACTCCTGTAAACTTCTGTAAACTCCCGTAAACTCCTGTAAACTTCTGTAAACTCCCGTAAACTTCAGTAAACTCCCATAAACTTCTGTAAACTCCCGTAAACTTCTGTAAACTCCCGTAAACTTCTGTAAACTCCCGTAAACTCCTGTAAACTCCCGTAAACTCCTGTAAACTTCTGTAAACTCCTGTAAACTTCTGTAAACTCCCGTAAACTTCTGTAAAGCCCCGTAAACTTCTGTAAACTCCCGTAAACTCCCGTAAACTCCCGTAGAGCGCCCCCTGTCCGTCGCGGCCTCACCTTGTTGTAGTACCCGTAGGTGATGGCGTTGGGCTGGAGTCCCGCCTTCTTCATGTCGAACAAAACTCGCACGGCCAGAACGGGCTGACTGTACTGACCACAGAGCTGCAGCAGCACCCGGTAACACACCTGGACACACACACACAGGTCAGACACACGTACACACACAGGTCAGACACACACACCTGGACACACACACACACACACACACACACAGGTCAGACACACACACACACACACACACACACAGGTCAGACACACACACCTGGACACACACACACACACACACACACACACACAGGTCAGACACACACACCTACACACACACACACACAGGTCAGACACACACACAGGGTCAGACACACACCTGGACACACACACACACACACACACACACACACACAGGTCAGACACACACAGAGGGTCAGACACACATACACACACACACTGGACACACACACACACACACACACACACAGAGGGTCAGACACACACCTGACACACACACACACACACACACACAGAGGGTCAGACACACATACACACACAGGTACACACAGTACACACACACACACACACCTGGACACACACACACACACACACACAGGTCAGACACACACACACACACACACACACAGGTCAGACACACACACCTGGACACACACACACACACACACACACACACACACACACACAGGTCAGACACACACACACACACACACACAGAGGGTCAGACACACATACACACCTGGACACACACACACACACACACACACAGGTCAGACACACACACCTGGACACACACACACAGGTCAGACACACACACCTGGACACACACACACACACACACACACACACACAGGTCAGACACACACACCTGTACACACACACACACAGAGGGTCAGACACACACCTGACACACACACACACACACAGGGTCAGACACACACACACTCAGACACACACACACACACACACACACACACAGGTCAGACACACACACCTGTCAGACACACACACACACACACACACAGGTCAGACACACACACACACACACTGGACACACACACACACACACACACAGGTCAGACACACACACACACACACACACACACAGAGTAGGTCAGACACACACACACCTGAACACACACTCACAGGTCAGACACACACACACAGAGGGTCAGACACACACAGACCTGCACACACACAGACAGAGTTGGTGTGTCAGGTCCCTCTCACCTCGTCCGGGGCCTGCAGGTTCCTCTCCTGCATCTTCTGCAGGAGCTCGTAGGCCGTGTGCAGAGCTCGGACCCTGGAGACGCTGCTGCTGATGAAGCCGGGCAGACACATGTACCACAGGCCGTAACAGTGACGCAGGAGACACTTGGACCACATCTGGGGCATGGACGAGTGAGCTTTGGCCATCCTCTGAGCCAGCTTCATCTCCTGACGGCAGAGGATCAACGGGGGACAGAATGAAGGTGCAGTCAGCAATAGTTTGAACAAAAAAAACTAAAAATCTGCTCTAAAGTGTGTCTAAAGTTTCAGAGTTTCAGCGAAAACGTGGAGCCGTCTGATCGTGTGACACAGACCTCCGCTGTGATGCTTCTGTTTAGCTCCATGTGACTGAAAGTGCAGTTTTTGTTTGTCTCTCTTCTCTTTTGTATGTTTATGTTTGTTTTGTGATTCTCACGTGTTTCTTATCGTGTAAATGACTCTGAATGACTCTGTGTACAAATACAAACACAAACTGCCCTTGGACATTTGGGCTGTGAAATTAAACAACGTAATTTAGATCCTGTCACTTCTAATTCTCGGCCTGTCTGACTAAATTCTTAAACTCTGTAATCTTGAAACTGTCTGAAACTCTGAACTCTGAAACTCTGTCTAAAATCTGTCAAAACTCTGAAAACTCTGTCTGCAAAACTCTGTCTGAAACTGTCAAAAAACTCTCTGTCAAACAAAACTCTGTCAAAAATCTGCTGAAACTCTGTCAAAACTCTTCAAAACTTGAAACTCTGAAACTCTGTCAAAACTCTGTCTGAAACTCTGAACTCTGTCAAAACTCTTGAAACTCTGCAAAACTCTTTCAAACTCTTAAAACTGAAAACTCTGATAAAACTCTGTCAAAACTCTGATAAAACTCTGTCAAAACTCTGCCAAAACTCTTTCGAAACTCTGATAAAACTCTGTCAAAACTCTTTTGAAACTCTGATAAAACTCTGTCAAAACTCTTTTGAAACTCTGATATAACTGTAACGACAATTTTAGTCCTAACCTTTTGTCGTCTCTGGGTGCAGGGGATCCAGGCCTAACGCGCTCCCCGATTGGCAGATTGGATCGTAAAGCAGAAAGGAGTAGGAAGTAGAATGGATAAAAGATGTTCGATAATATTACAGAGTTGAGTAGTGAAAACTAGACCACCGGCCGTAAAGAGAGCGGTAAAAACCGTGTGACCTCCTGTCACCCATACACCCAGTGCACTGGCACCTGTGCATTTATATAGGGCTTGACTCCACCCTGCCCCCTTGTGGCCGAGCCGAATATAGGTCACCCTGTGCCCAGACAAACAGTGACCCAAACTAACCCCAGCCTAAATGAAAGAAAAATGGCTCCTACAATAACTCTGTCAAAACTCTGGCAAAAACCTTTTGAAACTCTGTCAAAACTCTTTCAAAACTCTGATAAAACTCTGTCAAAAGTCTTTAAAAACTCTGTTATAACCCTGCCAAAACTCTTTCGAAACTGTTAAAACTTTGCCAAAACTCTGTTAAAACTCTGTCAAAACTCCATGTGAAGCGTCAGTCTTGTATTATTTTGCCAGCTCAGATTTCAGTCTTTTTGTCAATTCTTCTGGAGGTGTTAAAATGTGTGCACTGTGTCACCATGGTAACTGCAGACCATTCCGCCCATAGACACACAAGTAGAAAACCCCAATGTGATGTCACTGCAGAGTATCAGTACATTATGAGCCCATTACTGACTTAATTTTATTTATTTATGTATTTATTTTTATCATTTTCAGCTTTATGCATTATAACTCTTTTTATTTGTTGTTTTTATTTATGATTTTCTGTCTTTTTTTGTATTTCTTGTATTTTTTTGTCTGTGCATCACTTTGGACACTGTCATGTGGATAAAATGTGCTGTAGAAATAACGTGGACTGGATTGACTGAGTTTTGGCGTCTGACCTGCTTGGATCGTCTGAAAATGGCGGTGGGACTGGCCGGGCTGACGTGCCGAGCGCCGGATCCGCCCGGAGGAGGAGCGGCGCCCTCTAGAGGCTGCAGCAGGTCCACCTCCAGCACCGGGAACCCAGAGTAACTGCAGAACCGAGAGGAACAGGAACATTACACAACTGAAGAACCCGTCACACAGAAGAAAGAGTTTCTGTACGTGTTTAGTTCCTCCTTGTACACAGATGTTTTTTGGAGAGATTCTTTTTAACTTGAAATTATTTAAGTGGTCGTTTGTGGGTCAAACCTCAAAAATGTGCACAGAAAATCAGACAAAAACAAGACACTGGGTCAGTTTAGAAAAGTGAAAAGGTCTTTATTCCATCTCCATTACTAAGGATAAAAACAGACGCACAACATGAATATTCTGTATTTGGTCCCGGTCAAGCAGAAGTAAACAGCAAAGTCAAAAATTCAAGTTAATTCATCTGATATAAAAGTGTATTGAAGGGGGCGCTCTCTTGTGGTGAGGTGAGTACCTGTACTGCAGGGGGTGCTCTTGTGGTGAGGTGAGTACCTGTACTGCAGGGGGTGCTCTTGTGGTGAGGTGAGTACCTGTACTGTAGGGGGTGCTCTTGTGGTGAGGTGAGTACCTGTACTGCAGGGGGTGCTCTTGTGGTGAGGTGAGTACCTGTACTGTAGGGGGTGCTCTTGTCCCTCGGGGAGGGGGGGCAGCTCGGGGGGGTTGATGTAGACGGTGTGTTCGCTGTAGTGAGACTCGTCCAGGTCGATGAGACGTGTGTCCTCTGGAACGTGAAGAACAACAACAACAACATGAAGATCAACAACATGAAGAACAACAACAACATCAACAACAACATAACAACAACAACATGAAGAACAACAACAAAGAACAACAACAACAACAACAACAACAACATGAAGAACAACAACAACAACATGAAGAACAACAACAACAACATCAACAACAACATGAAGAACAACAACAACAACAACAACAACAACATGAAGAACAACAACAACAACATGAAGAACAACAACAACAACATGAAGAACATGAAGAACATGAACATGAAGAACATCATGAACATGAACATGAAGAACATCATCATGAACATGAAGAACATCATGAAGAACATCATCATGAACACCTGAGGCCTCGTTTCCTCCGGCGCCAAGACAAACGTCAAACTCAATTTATCAACTTCAATTTCTCTTTAGTCTCAGATTTTCCCTGAACGACAGAGATTCTTCACACAGCGACACGAAGTCTCACAGACAAAGAAACACAAACGTTCAGTTATGTCATAAAAGTGACGGCGGCTTTAGGAGCGTGGAGCTTTGATCCGGTCCTGGTCCGGTCCTGGTCACCTGACGGTGTACGCGGGCGCACCTCTGGACCCGTCCCGACCCTCAGAACCGTAACAAAGCCGCAGTAAACGGGCCAGAACCTGATGAGGTCTTTTATGATCGAGCACTGGAGATATTCTTCACAAACCTCGTACATGAGATGTTCTGTGGGACACGTGCACCAAACACACTCATGCTGCTCAGGATTTCATTTAGTCGCCTTGTTTCACCTTTAGGAGTTTCTTAGATTTAATTTTAATATTTTATTTATTTAATTTGTATTATTATAGAATTGTTACATTATAATATTTATTTTGTTTTACCAAAAAAATAAAAAATAAAAAATCTTATTGTTTGAGCAGGACTTGAGTTAAGTATTTGAAATAAAACCAAGATTAAAAGTTTTTCTTTTTTTTTTTTTCTTCTTTTCCTGTAATTCAATCCTTGAATGTCAAAAAATCTAAAGTCCAGGTCAAAACTAAACTTTAACATCAACTTTAGTAAGAAATTCTCATGAAATTTAAAGTACAGGCCTGACAGGACAAACTGTCAGTCTGATGTTCAGAGACACATGTTCATCTCATGAAAAGAAAAGTCAAAAAATACTGTTTCAGTGTTTCTCAAACTGTGGTGCACGCCCTCTGGTGGAAGAACAAAGGTTTTATCCACATTTGTGTCGTTCAGATTTATAACAGCTGAGAGACCTGGTTTAGACCTGGTTTAGTCCTGTTTTAGACCTATTTTAAACCTGGTTTAGTCCTGATTTAGACCTGATTTAGACCTGGTTTAGACCTGTTTTAGACCTGGTTTAATCTTGTTTTAGTCCTGTTTTAAACCTGGTTTAGTCCTGATTTAGTCCTGGTTTTAGACCTGGTTTAGTTTTCCTAGTTTTAGACCTGTTTTAGACCTGGTTTAGTCCTGGTTTTAGACCTGGTTTACCTGTTTAGACCTGGTTTAGACCTAGTTTTAGACCTGGTTTAGTTTAGACCTTAGTGTTTTAGACCTGGTTTAGACCTGTTTTAGACCTGGTTTAGTCCTGTTTTTGACCTGGTTTAGACCTGTTTTAGACCTGTTTTAGTTTAGACCTGTTTTAGACCTGGTTTTTGGTTTAGACCTGTTTTAGACCTGTTTTAGAGTTTCCTGGTTTACCTGTTTTAGACCTGGTTTTAGACCTGGTTTAGTAGACCTGGTTTAGACCTGGTTTAGACCTGGTTTAGTCCTGTTTTAGACCTGTTTTAGACCTGTTTTAGACCTGTTTTAGACCTGGTTTAGACCTGTTTTAGACCTGTTTTAGACCTGGTTTAGTCCTGTTTTAGACCTGGTTTTAGAGTTTAGACCTGTTTAGTCCTGTTTTTAGACCTGGTTTAGACCTGTTTTAGACCTGGTTTAGACCTGTTTTAGACCTGGTTTAGACCTGGTTTAGTCCTGTTTTAGACCTGTTTTTAGACCTGGTTTTAGACCTGGTTTAGACCTGGTTTAGTCCTGTTTTAGACCTGGTTTAGGTTTTAGACCTGTTTAGACCTGGTTTAGACCTGTTTAGACCTTTAGAGTCCTGTTTAGACCTGTTTTAGACCTGGTTTTAGACCTGGTTTTAGACCTGTTTTAGACCTGGTTTAGTCCTGTTTCAGACCTGGTTTAGACCTGTTTTTTAGACCTGTTTTAGTTTTCCTGTTTTAGACCTGGTTTAGTCCGGTTTAGACCTGTTTTAGACCTGGTTTAGTCCTGTTTTAGACCTGTTTTAGACCTGGTTTAGTTTTCCTGTTTTAGACCTGGTTTAGTTTTAGACCTGTTTTAGACCTGTTTAGACCTGGTTTACCTGTTTAGACCTGTTTTAGACCTGGTTTAGACCTGGTTTAGTCCTGTTTAGTTTTAGACCTGTTTAGACCTGGTTTAGTCCTGTTTTAGACCTGTTTTAGACCTGGTTTAGTCCTGTTTTAGACCTGTTTTAGACCTGTTTTTAGACCTGGTTTAGTGTTTAGACCTGTTTTAGACCTGGTTTAGTCCTGTTTTAGACCTGTTTCAGACCTGGTTTAGACCTGTTTCAGACCTGGTTCAGGACCAGTGGGATTCAGAGTTTTTCTTGGTGGTGAGATGTTCGAGAGCTGCAGCTGTAAAAACCACAGCAGAAAATGCAAAAACAACGTCTCTGTAACATTTCAATCTAAAAGTCCAAAGAAAAATATGGTTTAATGAATAAAAACAGCGTCAAAATTAAAACGCGACAAAAACCGAATCAAGAGGAAGAGCCGCGCCTTTAATTAAAAGTGTATTAGTGAAATCTGGGCTGGACTCTGGGCTCATCTCTGGGCTCGGGGTTTTCGTTGGCGCTCGAGTCGCGTCAGAGTCAGAGTTCTTCTTGGTCTTTGTTTTCTCACGTGCGGAGGCTCCGGTGACGCTTTGAGGACCTGTAGTTCCTCTTTTCTTCAAACCCACATCACAGTCTGAGAGTGTGGACACAGCCGGACGTCAAACACACTTCCTGTTGCTCAAGACTCGAGGAAACGGAGCTGGATGTTTTCTCTTTAGAAATGTTGAAACATGTGATTTTGTTCTTGAGTCAAAGAACAACAAATCCTGTGTGTAAAGGTCCTCAAAAGTCCCAAGACGTCGAATCATTTCATTTGGTGGTGAATCTGTGTGTCGTTTGTTTTTCAATATAAAACCAAAAATAAGAAAACGAAAAAACAACAGTTTTCTTCATTATTTGTCTCCAAAACCAAAATGAAAAAACTGAAAATGATTCGGTTTTTCAGTTTTCGATTTTGTGTTTAAATAAAAAAATTGGAAAAAAAACGGAGAACGACCGTTTCCCGTTTACGTGACTTAAACTGTGATGTCGGACTGAACCAGGACTGATCCAGGTTCAGGACCAGACCAGAACCAGACCAGGACTGAGACCGAGATCGAGACCAGACCGAGACCAGACCGGGACCAGACTGGGACCAGACTGGGACCAAACCAGGACTGAGGCCGAGACCAGACCGGGACCAGACCGGGAACAAACCGAGACCAGACTGGGTCTGAAACCAGGACCAGACTGGGACCAGACCGGGACTGAGGCCGAGACCAGACCGAGACCAGACTGGGACCAGACCGGGACCAGACCGTTGGCTCAGAGCCCACAGCAGGGCCGGAGCTCGAAACTGAAGCTCGGACCCTGCGGAGGCTCAGAGTCAAAGCTCGGAGTCCTGTCTGGTCCTGGACCTGGATCAGTCCTGGTTCAGTCCGACATCGCAGTTTCAGTCACGTAAACGGGAAACGGTCGTTATCTGTTTTTTTTCCATTCTTCATTTAAACACAAAATCAAAAACTGAAAAAACAAATCATTTTCTGTTTTTTCATTTTGGTTTGGAGACAAATAATGAAGAAAACTGTTGTTTTTTCATTTTCTTATTTTTGGTTTTATATTGAAAAACGAATGAACGAACGAAACTTGGATTGTGGTGCAGTATCGATATCGTGAGCTGCTGTTTCGATTTATCAAGAGTTTATTTATTTATTGCTCGTGCTTTTATTTTGTTTGCATCGACTTAAACAGAACAACTACAACAAAAAATCTGAAACTGAACATAAATCCATAAATATTTCTCTGATTATTTGTCTCGTTTTTTTGCTGCATGAACAAAAGAAACAGGAAGAAGTTAAATCTTATAAACCTGCTCCTTTTTTTAATATATTTGACCACATTCTTTTATAACAGAGGGATCATTTTCGAGGGAGAAAACTACATTTGTCATATTCATGGTTTTGATTAAAATGGGTGTGTTTCCTTTTCACTTGGGTGAATGTGGAGCTGGTGTAAAGTGGATGAATCAGCAGAGAGCAGAGCCAGAGCTTCATGTGCCCCTCAGCACAGATCCGTGTCCAGTGTCGGGAGTAACAGATTACAAGTACCAGAGTTACGTAATGAGTTACGAGTACAAATTACAAGTAACTGTATTCAGTTACAGTTACTGTTTCAGTGAGTGGGAATTCGATTACAGTTACTTTCCTGAAATAAATGGATTACACAGCAAGATTTTCCTGTTTTCACATTTTGGGCTATTCCTTTTTTTTTTTTTTTTGGTAATTCCACTTATTGCCGGAAACTAAACCAGGACTAAACCCAGGTCCAAACCAGTTCTAAACCTGGTCTAAACCAGGACTAAACCAAGACTAAAACCAGGTCTAAACAGGACTAAACCAGGTCTAAAACAGGACTAAACCAGGACTAAACCAGGATCTAAACCAGGACTAAACCAGGAACTAAACCAGGACTAAACCAGGTCTAAAACAGGATTTAACCAGGACTAAACCAGGACTAAACCAGACTAAAACCAGGTCTAAAACAGGACTCAAACCAGGACTAAACCAGGTCTAAAACAAGATTTAAACAGGACTAAACCAGGACCTAAACCAGGTCTAAACCAGGTCTTAAAACAGGATTTAACAGGACTAAACCAGGACTAAACCAAGACTAAAACCAGGTCTAAAACAGGACTCAACCAGGACTAAACCAGGTCTAAAACAAGATTTAACCAGGACTAAACCAGGACTAAACCAGGTCTAAACCAGGTCTAAAACAGGATTTAACAGGATTAAACCAGGACTAAACCAAGACTAAAACCAGGTCTAAACAGGACTAAACCAGGTCTAAAAACAGGACTAAACCAGGACTAAACCAGGTCTAAACCAGGTCTAAAACAGGATTTAACAGGACTAAACCAGGACTAAAACCAAGACTAAAACCAGGTCTAAAATAGGACTCAAAACCAGGACTAAAACCAGGTCTAAAAACAAGATTTAAACAGGACTAAACCAGGACTAAACAGGACTAAACCAGGTCTAAAACAGGATTTAACAGGACTAAACCAGGACTAAACCATGCTGCGCAGACCATGTCTCCTCCTCTTTTATCAATAATATTTTTAATTTGGTTCAGTAAAGTCTGGACTTTTTATTTTCTTTTATCAGACAAAACTTCTTATGTGAAGATTTCCTCGTCTTTGCTTCTCTCCAGCAAATCAAGTAATCCAAAGTAATCAGATTACGTTACTCACTTTAAGTAATTTAATGGATTATGTTACAAACTACATTTTGGGGTGTGTAATCTGTAATCTGTAGGGGATTACATTTTAAAAGTAAACTTCCCAACACTGTCCGTGTCTGCGCCTCGGTGCTTTTATGGTTATAGATTTTTACGTTACTCAGTTTGTGTTTGTGTTTGTCTTACCTTTCCTCCACTGCTGAACAACTACGATCCAAGAGCAGAAAGACAAAACAGAAGAGAAAAGGACAGATCAACAAGACAGAGTGAAGGAAAACTCAAAGCAAGTGATCTGGAAAAGAATATACAGGACACTGCAGAAAAACCTGGACAAAACACTTACAAAAAACACTTAAATGTATCAGAAAATGACTTGAAACTAGAGAAATGATGTGTCCAAGCAGCAAGATCATTTTACTGGACAAGTTCTCTTAAGTTTTCTGTTTTCATGGGCTGGAAATAAGTTCATGATGATAATTTTGAGATAAACAGACTCGAGTATCGGGCAAATCTGTGTCACTGAGGCTTCGTTTATCTGATGACGTCTGAACAGAAAAAACGCAAAAGTGCCGTCGCGTCTTCACTTTTTATTCTGCGTTTAGTCGAGTGTTTTTGGGAGGAAATCTGTGTGCAGACGATGTGCGGATGGTAAAGGCTAAACTGAGGGTCGGGCGGATGACGTGATGAAAAATAATTTAATTTTAATTAAATTTGGGCGGGTGACGGTTTAACTACTCAAATAAAAAAACTCTGAACTCAGAGGAGACTGAGCGGACGGCGGGTGGGTGCAGTTTTGAAAATTGGTCAAAAAACTGCAGGTGCAAACGGACGAGTGGATGATGAGTTTTGGGTTGCGGTTGCGGATGAAAAAAACAGCCCATCACCACGCGGTGAAAAAGTGTGTGGAATTCGATTGTGCGTGTTTCCCAGGCGGCTCGGTGGTGATGTGATAAACAATCACACGACACATGTCTAGAACCTTCCTTCTCCTCAGCTGCGCCGTTTGTTTGTGACGTAAACTCGTACACGACCTGAGCACATGTGACCAGAGTTTTGTGTCTTGGGCAGTGTAGACGGAAACTCTACAGTGGAGATTATTCAACTTTTACACTCTGGAGGTGGGTTCAGATTTTTGTGTTTTTAAGCCTCAAAAACAACGACACCGTCTGAATGAAAGACACTTCCCCTCAAATATTTTTACCCACAAGAGACTCTGAGTCTAAAAACAAGTGAAGTGTTTCAGGGAAAACTCTGGTAAGTGGATTGTAGTTTCTTTTAAACATTTATCGCCTAAATTTAAGATTTTCTGACTGAAGAAATAAATGTGACACTTTTTAAGACGATACGACCAAATCAGAACGAGTAAGAAGATCATAAATCTGAAAACAAGATGAACCTGATTTAAAATCTTGGTCAGATCAGAGACATTTGCAGTGTGATATTATTAATGGTGCTGGAATTCAACCATGGGTGAAGTGTGTTGCCTAAAGACACAACAACAGTATTGACCAGAGCCACTGCAGCACCGGGTCGTCCCATCCAAGTCCTGACCAGACTCTGCCCTGTTGGTGCTGGTGCAAACCACAGACCTGTGGAGTCAGGACTCTGGGCCTGAGACTGGACTCTTCCTCTGGACTCTTGGTCTGGATCAGGGGTGGGCAAACTACGGCCCGGGGGCCATATGCAGCCCTTTTATCTTTTCAATCTAACCTGCTGAACTTGAATAATAATAATAATAATAATAATAATAATAATAATAATAATAATAATAATGATCATAATTTTCAGTGTGTTTTAAAAATCATTTCAATAAATAGTAAAAACCGTGGGACTTGAAACACACAGATTTAATTGTGATGTTTTGTAATGATTTTCAGTTTTGGGATATTTCAGTAACATGGGACACGTTTTCTATTTCTCATGTTATTTTTTCCTCTTATGAGGTCGATTAACCAAAAAACTCCGTCCATCTGCTCCTGGTCCGGCCTTTCTGTCATATCTTCAAACCTTTGTGGCCCACGAGTCAAAAAGTTTGCCCACTCCTGGTCTAGATTCTTGTTCTAGATTCTTGGTCTGGATACTTAGTCTGGATTTATGGTCTTGATTCTTGGCCCTGGATCCCTGTTCTGGACTCTTAGTCTAGATTCTTGGTCTAGATTCTTGGTCTGGATTTTTGGTCTTTATTCTTGGCTCTGGATTCTTGTGCTGGACACTTAATCTACATTCTTGACTCTGGATCTTGGTCTGGTTTCTTGCTCTGGATTCTTGTTCTAGATTCTTGGTCTGGTTTCTTGGTCTAGATTTTTGGTCTGGATTCTTGGTCTAGATTTTTGGTCTGGATTCTTGGTCTGGATTCTTGGTCTGGTTTCTTGGTCTGGATTCTTGGTCTGGATTCTTGGTCTGGTTTCTTGGTCTAGATTTTTGGTCTGGATTCTTGTCACGTGAAACCAACAAATACATTTTTTTTCAGTTCACTTTACATTGACTCGTCTGTTTTGTCTCCAAAGTCCTAAAGCAAAGAGCGACGACGAATCCACAATCTGTTTATATGAACGGACGTGTCTGACCCTTCAGCCGCCGCGCTCCAAACAGGAAGTGTTCATGGGCGTGTTTGGGCTCCATGGACTCTGGCTCCAGTTCAGTTTGTGTGTAAAAGTGTGGCTCCTCAAATGCTCCTGACCCTCAGATACTGAACCTCCTCTACGTGACCCTGCGGTTTCATCTTCCTGTTATAAACACACCTTGGGACTTTTCACGGTTCAGAAAACGGGATATTTAGTTTAAATTTGTTAATCGCTACGGCAACACTCCTAATTATTCACCGTGGACTGAGAAGAGGCTGACTTCTCCCTGTGACCCCAAACAGAAGCAGATCTAAACCTGCGCGAGTTCTGATCCTGACCTTGTCCACGCACTCGTCGAAGAAGGCGAGGCTGGCGTCTTTGTCGCTGACGAAGGAGCACTCCTCGATGAACCTGCTGAACATCTGTGTCTTCATCATCAACGAGTAGAACCTCTGATGGGAGCGATCGCGGCTCTTCAAGAAACCTGCAGGAAAACAAACAGAAGAGTTTTTTTAATGTCAGAGTCTGAGACCGAGACCGAGATGAACGACTCCAGCTCCAGGACGTCCAGGAGCAGAGTTTTGGAGCTTCAGACTGAATATGACACCATTTCATGACATCACAAGGTGGAGCAGAGCGTTTGGAGTTTTACAGATGTAGACAGACTCATAAAGAGTTACTCGAACATGTGAATGAAACAAACACGACTCCAGGATTAAATCTCACATTGTAACACATTTTGCGTGATATTAAACCTTTAAAAACTGGTCTCCTGGGATTTTCCTGCTTTTGTGGTGTTTTAACTCTTCCAGACCCACAGTATCGTACACGACACCTGGGAATCTGTTTTATAAAACCACACAGAACTTTACAACCATTAAAGAAAGAAACTTTTTTCCCCTCGAAAAGCTGAGTCGTGTCTTTCCAATCAGATCTCCGTCATTTTCCTCCGTCTGTGTCTGTGTGATGATGTAGAGAAAACAAGTGTCCAGTAGGAACTTTGTTTTGGTCCAAACTCAGTCACTCCGTCCATTTTGATTGGTCCAAACCTTGCCAAAGAGTGTAGTGAGTCAAAACAGTCGATGCTCTGAGCGTCTGTGTTCAGAACAAGTGAAAAAGTCGCTTTAAGTGCAGAGATTTGTCAAATAAATGGACAAATGACACATCGGCTACGTTCAGTCTGCAGGTTTAACGCTCAATTCTGATTTTTTTGGTGAAATCCGATGTTTTTTCGAGGTCGTTCACATTTCCAGTTAAATGTGACTTGTATGTGACTCCAGTGTGAACATTAAACGGTCCAAAAGTGTCCCACATGTGACACTGGAGACACGACGACGTCAACCGCAGCGAGCGTCTCTGTGTTTACACAAGTTGAACAAACATGGACGCAGCATCGAGCACCTGGAGATTTTAAAGTTCCTCTCGTACCGGAGCCACAACATGAACAACTGACTTGTTTTAAGGAGGAGATTGAGAAGGAGAAGGAGCAGGTTTTTGGTGGTGGTGTTTGTGGTGAGTGGAGATGTGCTTCACTTCAGTCACATGGATCATGAACAGTTTTCTCTACTTCAGTGCAGAATAGTGACGTTTGTGTCTTGTTGATGACGTGTAGGTGGATGAATGTGACCTGACTGTTCACACTCAAGTCACATGTTAAAGATCAGATATGGATCAGTTTCAGGAGCACAGATCCAAGTGTCCTGGGTCACATTTGAAAAAATCGGATCTGTGTGGTTCAGACTCACATTAAAAGATCAGATACAAGAACATAGAGACAAAAAAACAGATTTGTGTCACTTCAGGTGCAGTGTGAACGCAGCCATCTTGGTCTGTGGAATTGTGCATCCCTTTTATTTTTATGTTCATGTTTATTTGAGTCCAAACGTCCAAATCCAAATGTAATAAACTCATGGAAATACAGAAGTGAAGTGTCTCTGTGACCTGGACCTGACTCCAGCTGCTTCCACGACCTGCACCAGTCAAGTCATTAGGACACTGCACTTTTTTTTGTTTTGTTTTGAGACAATTTGAGATTTTTAGTTTATTTACAGACTTGATATTTTACACTTTTGTAGCTAAGGCTCGAAATTATGAATTTTTTATATCCAAAAAGTTGTTTCTACATGTTTGTGTGACAGAGTGAATTTTCCTTTTTGTATTTCTGGTTCTTTTCTGACACGACTCCAGCAGCAGATTGTGAAATAACAGATTGTTCTAACACTTCATTAGGAGGGAAAAGGTTTAAACGCAAAATTAAGAAAAAAAAAATCCAGGTGAAGACAAATGTAGTAAAACTGCCCTCAGGTCTTGAAGGTTTAGAGTCGTTTCCGTGTGAGTTTCTGTGAGTGTTTCTCTGCGCTGTTGCACGGAGGCTTTTGTTGTGACGGGTTTGACGGCTCCGTGACTCAGCTCCTTTGTCGCTCGGAGCTCGACGTTCGCAGGAAGAAGCCGAGCGCTGGATGAAAGCACCTGTTACATAAGAGCAGAGACGAGGCAGATGCCCTCACACGGCGCCGTTAATCCTCCTCCTCCTCCCGCTGCCGTCGGTCGTTTCTGTCCTAATGTCTCCGTGATCATGACTCAGACGGAGAATCAATCTGATACTAAAAATAACAAATCACACTGATGATTCACAAAGACAAACCGACCGAAAGATCTGATCTAAACCTCCTACATCAAACAAACTGACTCCTGTGAGATTTAAACCTTCAACACCTGAGGCAATTTTACTACATTTGTCTTCACCTGGATTTTTTTCCTTAATTTTGTGGTTAAAACTTCCCCTTTATAGTGTTATACATCCTTTTTATCAGTACAACCTGTTATTTCACAATCTGCTGCTGTAGTTGTGTCATATACAAATAAAAAAAACAAAAAAAAAACACTCTTTCATACAAAACACACACAAACATGTATAAACAACTTTTTGGACATAAAAAATGTTTAATTTAGGTCCTTAGCTACAAAAGTGCGAAATATAAAGTCTGTAAATAAACTAAAAATCTCCTTATTTTTTTATTAGGTTCTTTTTTTCAGACCACGAGTTTGTTTTCACACCCGACAACGTCTTCCTCAGCAAACAAACTCTTGGTGTGGAAAAATAATTAATAACACAAAATATCAGAAGAACAAATGAACCTGGCACAATTCCACAGACCAACATGTGTCATTTGTCCATGTATTTGTGAAATTTCTGCAGTTCGAGTGACTTTTTCACTTGTTCTGACCACAGACGCTCAGAGCATCGACTGTTTTGACTCACTACACTCTTTGGTAAAGTTTGGACCAATCAAAATGGACGGAGCGACTGAGTTTGGACCAAAACAAAGCTCCTATTGGACACTCGTTTTCTCTACAACATCACAGAGAGACGGAGGAGAATGACAGAAATCTGCTCGGAAAGACGCGACTCTCATCTTTTCTTTTTAATGTTCTAATGTTCCTGGTCACACACAGAGCTGAGGTTGTGTTTTGTTTCATTCACATGTTTGAGTTCATCTTTGGTGGTGTTTTCAAGTGCTCGATCATTTTAGAAGTAAATCAAACCTTATATTTGAAGGATTTCTGTCTGAGCAGCAGCGGTGAGTTGTTCTTCCTGATAAAAAAAAACCCGGCAGCGGCGGACTGATATATGAGAAAATAGTCCCTCAACATGCGACGATTCATGTGACACAAGGTCAGTTTTACTTGTAAAATGATTCTCTGGACACAGACGTTCACAGGGACAGTCTGGTGTAATAACAGATTTGTTTCAGGTGTTTTGTGAAGTGGGTGAGTCTGTTTTTAGTGGCAGGATAAACTATGACCATTGACATGCACCAGTCTAACACCAGTGACCTCTGCAAATACAGCGACTGGATGGACAGTGTTGGGAGTAACAGATTACATGTACCAGAGTTACGTAATCAGAGTACAAATTATGTGTATTATAATCCAATTACCACTCACTGAAACAGTAACTGTAACTGAATACAGTTACTCATAATTTGTACTCTGATTACTTAACGCCGGTACATGTAATCTGTTACTCCCTGACACTGCGAATCAAAAGTTCACTGTATCGAGACATGTATCGTATCGGTAACTTCTTAATGATACCAGCCCGAGTCGCTGTAACGCTCCAACAATCCTTCAATCGTTGCGGCTTCGTAGTTTACCAAAGTCGTACTAAAACATTTTGACAGTTTTTTTGAGCGCCGTGTTCCACAGAAAATCAGTTCGAGGTCGGTAAAAACAACCAGGATTAATACTTAAACCAAACTGCAGATTTTTAAGAAAATTAAAGGGTTTCAAGTGCGTCTCATGGTCTGAAAACTACAGCAGATGATAGAAAAGCTGATGAGCGAGTGTTACCCTGCAGGTCGAAGAGCGAGCTGGCGTCGGTGGTCTTCTCGGACGGGGCCTGGGTGATGGGCAGCAGGTACGAGCGGTATCCTCTCAGGATGGACGCCATGAACCGGAGGAAGGCCTCTTGGATCTCCAGCTCCAGCGTCTGGAGGCTCTTCCCGCCCTCCAGCTCGCTGTCCGTCATGGAGGGCTCCGTCTGCAGGTCGTCGCGGTTCAGCTGAGCCCCTGAGCAACGACAAGACAGAGTTACAACGTCTCAGAACATCTCAGAACATCTCAGAACATCTCAGAACATCTTAAGATCTCAGAACATCTCAGAACATCTCAAAACATCTTAAGATCTCAGAACATCTCAAAACATCTTAAGATCTCAGAACATCTCAGAACATCTCAAAAACATCTTAAGATCTCAGAACATCTCAGAACATCTTAAAACATCTCAGAACATCTCAAAACATCTCAGAACATCTCAAAACATCTTAAGATCTGAGAACATCTCAAAACATCTTAAGATCTCAGAACATCTCAGAACATCTCAAAACATCTCAAAACATCTTAACATCTCAGAACATCTCAAACATCTCAGTCTCAAAACATCTTAAGATCTGAGAACATCAAAACATCATCTCAGAACATCTCAAAACATCTTAAGATTCAGAACATCTCAGAACATCTTAAGATCTGAGAACATCTAAAAAATCTTAAGATCTCAGAACATCTCAAACATCTCAAAAACATCTCAAACATCTTAAGATCTCAGAACATCTCAAAACATCTCAGAACATCTTAAAATCTCAGAACATCTCAAAACATCTCAGAACATCTCAGAACTATCCAGAACTATCCAACTTTTCATGGTCTATTCACATAAGACCAGCTGATTCTCTTCTTGTTTTTTCTTTCACTTTTAACTCGTTTCGAGTCTTTTCCTGATCAATAATTGTTGTATATGTGTTTTTTCGTTGTATTACACTTATGTTTTTATCTTTATGTGCAGCACTTTGGTCGACTTTGTTATTTTTTTAGTGTTTTATAAATAAACTGGATTTGGATTTGATCTGGAAGGTCCTAGATGAAACAAAACTGACTCCTGTGAGCTTTAAGTGATGTTCTCACACTGTGTCCTCCTCAGAAACAAACCTGCAGTTTTGTGTTTTGTGTTTGAGAAAGAACTCGTGTTAAATGTGCAGGTTTGTGTGTTAAACGTGAATAAAATAAAAACACAGCTCCAGGTCTGAGAGACGAGGACATTAGAACCAGTGTCGGACAAGTGACTTTAAAACTGTCCTGTTTATTTATGACTTGTTCCTGTTATTTTAAAATAATATTAACTGTGTTTAAAATATAAAATATGACACGAATATTACAGAACTTTAATTTACTCTCAATAAAAGAACTGAGAAGATGCTGAACTTTGACACCGTATATGGACTGAACCAGAACTAAACCAGGACTAAACCAGGACTAAAACCAGGAACTGAACCAGGACTAAACCAGGACAACAACCAGGACTGAACCAGGACTAAACCAGGACTAAACAGGACTTACACCAGGTCTAAACCAGGACTAAACCAGGACTAAACCAGGACTAAAACCAGGACTAAACCAGGACTAAACCAGGACTGAACCAGGACTAAACCAGGACTAAACCAGGACTAAACCAGGACTAAACCAGGACTGAAACCAGGACTAAACCAGGACTAAACACAGGACTAAACCAGGACTACACCAGGTCTAAACCAGGACTAAAACAGGACTAAAACAGGACTAAACCATTGTAACGCACTTTACTGACGTTTGTACCAAGTAAATATATATATATATTTTTTCCTGTGACGCCACATTTGCCTTACAGCAAAAAAACAACACGGCACAGTAAATCGTTACTTTTATAACACGTTACTCCCAACACTTCTTAGAACATAATAATTATAAGGTAACACTTTATAATAACTACACCTTACTTAGCCTTAATAAAGCATGAACAAAGACTCAATTAATAATGAACAAAGCTTTAATTTAGCAATGATTCACGCTTAGTAAATGCTTAATAAAGAGTAATTCATCTTCACTTTAGAAAAGCTCTCAGAAAGACTTAACTAACAGATAACAGCTGCCTGAATGATCATTGCTTTGCATTATTAGTAAATCATTCTCTCATAGTTTACTAATGATTAATAAATGCTCAGATGGTTAGTTCATGAGTAATTAAGTATGAAATAATTATGAGTAACTATTTACAGCACAGGTAAATTAAGTGCAAGTGCTAATTAAGGCAGTAATTAAGTAGTTACTAAGTGTGAATCATTATTAATTAAGTCTTTGTTCATTATTAATTAAGTCTTTATTCATGCTTTATTAAGGCTAAATAAGGTGTAGTTATTATAAAGTGTTACCAAATAATAACAACAACCTCGTCCCTTTAACAGCTCAGAGTTCGTCGTCTCGTTCACGTTCACACAGACGTCAAGAAAACCTCCTCTGAATCAGCAGTTTCCTCACATTTCCCGTTTCTCCGCTGCACGTTTCCTCGGCGCGTCTCTGTTTTCTCGTGCACCAGATGAACTGTGGCCGCTGGGTGTTGGGTTTGGGGCTTAAATTGAATCCATGTGTTCGAAAACCACATTCAGTTTTTTTTCTGTAGCAGCAAAAAACGCGCATCTGGCGAGTCCCCCCGGCTCCTGCTCGAGTTACACAGTTTTGTACAAGTGCAGTGTGAGAAACGAAACGCCCGGACGGACTTCGGAGATCGGATTTAGAAACATTTTTTGAGTTAAATCTTTAATAAATCAGAATTGGAATCAGATATATTTAAAAAAAAAATTGTAAGTTTCATCAAAATCTTGTTAAAGCTGCATTGTGTAACTTTTCAAATGCTTTTCTCCATGGAAATGTTATTGATTATTGCTCTATCTCCATGGAGACCAAACCAGACTGAGTTCCAGGTCAGATCTGTGGAGAGGCGACCCCGCTCACAGTCACAAAGTCTGTTTTTTGAGTTTTTTTTAGCTCTAAAACCACCTGTAATTGAATGAATGTTAAGTATGTTTAAAGTCACACTGCGGAACATTCCAGGCAAAGCAGAGAAATGAGCAGGTGACCAGAAAGTGACACAGTGCAGCTTTAAGTACAAGATCTAAATGTCCGGCTGTGAGGTGATTGAATGAAATATTCAGTCGTGTTTCGGTGCAGAGAGACGCCGAACTGAAGCAAAAACTAAAAACTGAAAAATAAACGCAGCGTCTCCCCTTAAAAATGTTCAGTTTAATCCAACTCAGCACTGAAACACCAGACGTTCACACTCTTAACGCCCTCCTCCCGTCAGGCTCTGAGTGACAGGTGGGTTTGACCAATCACAGTGAATCTGGATCTGGAGGTTTGACTTTAGCACGTTCGCTTCCTCAGCTTCCAAACACATGATATAAAAGTCTCCGTTCAGTCTGCAGGTTTAACGCTCAATTCCGTTTTTTTTGTAAAATCCGATGTTTTTTCGAGGTCGTTCACATTTCCAGTTAAATGTGACTTGTATGTGACTCCAGTGTGAACATTAAACGGTCCAAAAGTGTCCCACATGTGACACTGGAGACACGACGACGTCAACCGCAGCGAGCGTCTCTGTGTTTACACAAGTTGAACAAACATGGACGCAGCATCGAGCACCTGGAGATTTTAAAGTTCCTCTCGTACCGGAGCCACCAACATGAACAACATTTTTGTTTATCCTTGTTTTAAGGTTAGATTTAGTTTAGTCCCAGTTTTAGGTTAGAAGTTTAGTCCCAGTTTTTGGTGGTGTTTTGTGGTGAGTGGAGATGTGCTTCACTTCAGTCACATGGATCATGAACAGTTTTCTCTACTTCAGTGCAGAATAGTGACGTTTGTGTCTTGTTGATGACGTGTAGGTGGATGAATGTGACCTGACTGTTCACACTCAAGTCACATGTTAAAGATCAGATATGGATCAGTTTCAGGAGCACAGATCCAAGTGTCCTGGTCACATGTGAAAACATCAGATCTGTGTGGTTCAGACGTCATTAAAAGATCAGATACAGGAACATAGAGACAAAAAATCAGATTTGGGAAACTTCAGGTGCAGTGTGAACGCAGCCAAAGTGAAAGTTTGAGACGTGGGCAGGAGACGGTGAAGATGTGAGTGGGTGAAGATGTGAGTGGGTGAAGATGTGAGTGGGTGAAGATGTGAGTGGGTGAAGATGTGAGAGGGTGAAGATGTGAGTGGGTGAAGATGTGAGAGTGGGTGAAGATGTGAGAGGGTGAAGATGTGAGAGGGTGAAGATGTGAGAGGGTGAAGATGTGAGTGGGTGAAGATGTGAGAGGGTGAAGATGTGAGTGGGTGAAGATGTGAGTGGGTGAAGATGTGAGAGGGTGAAGATGTGAGTGGGTGAAGATGTGAGTGGGTGAAGATGTGAGTGGGTGAAGATGTGAGTGGGTGAAGATGTGAGTGGGTGAAGATGTGAGTGGGTGAAGATGTGAGTGGGTGAAGATGTGAGATGTTGATGAGGAGCCTCACCCTGCAGGAGCTGCTGGTGCACTTTGTTCAGGCTGCTCAGGAGGTGTTTGCAGGCTCTCCGCGGCAGCAGCTTCCACGTCACCGCCTTTTTATCGTCTTTTCTGAAACACAACACGCAAACGAAAGTCAAAACTAAACATTCGCTGTGTTGCTTTTACACTGGAAATCTGACAAATGTCCTTCTTTTTCTCCATGGCTTAGAGACGGTGGGATTTTTACAACTTGAAAAAATTAAATATACACGAAGGAGATGTACAGAGAGATGATTGCAGGTGTGGCAATGCTTTATTTCTTATTTTTCTAATTTACAAGTTTATAGAACATGAACGTACCAGCACCTCCCTGTTGTAGTTATTATAATTATAACCTGCTGTTTCTGTAATTTGGAATATTTAATATTTAATTGATGGAGCTTTGTGTTTGTGGTTTAACGACGAGATGAGACGAGTCGGGACGAGGATGTTCTTTATGAAAAAGAAAAAAAACATCCTGTTATTATTCTCTGTACATGTTTATTGTTGATGCTTGTGTTTTATGCAGGTTTATTACAGAGTGTGTGTGCAACAAGAGGGAAAAAAAAGTATATTTCATTGTGTATTTTCTGTTAATGTTCCTAATAAAAATATAAAAAAAAAAAAACCCTAAATTAAACATTTGGAAAAGACGTAACAATAAAGGAGAAATGCCCCGACACCTGCCCTGCTCCTGCCCTGTCACCTGCCCCGACACTAGGGGTGAGCAAAAATATTGAAATATCAATGTATCGTATCGTTTTATGTGATGATACAGTATTGATATCATAGGCTGCTGTATCGATATATCACCAAGAGTATTTTTTGGTTTATTTAACTAAATTATTTTGTTACAGAGCTACAGTTTTGTTGCTTGTTTAGTGAAAGAAAACTTGTTTAATGCGACACATTTGACATTTTCACTGTTTTGAGGATTAAAATGTTTGTGTTTCATATGAACTTTAACATTATTTTTAGTGAACCGTATCAAATCGATTTGAAATATATCGTATCGAATCAAAACTGCACTGTATCGTGACATGTATCGTATCGTGGCCTATGTATCGAGGTTTGTATCGTATCGGCAGCTTCTTAACGATACCCAGCCCTACCCGACACCTGCCCCGACACCTGCCCCGACACCTGCCCCGACACCTGCCCCGACACCTGCCCCGACACCTGCCCCGACACCTGCCCCGACACCTGCCCGACACCCTGCCCCACACCTGCCCTGACACCTGCTCCTGCCCTGACACCTGACACCTGACACCTGCCCTGCTCCTGCCCCGACACCTGCCCTGACACCTGCTCCTGCCCCTGACACCTGCTCCTGCTCCTGCCCTGCTCCTGCCCTGCTCCTGACCACAGTGAGGGGGAGTTGAGTGTAACAGACTGGAGGTGGATGTGGGGCAGTGGTGAAGCACTGGGAGCTCTGAAAAACTGTTACATAAGACTCAGAGACTCAGAGACTCAGAGACTCAGAGACTCAGAGACTCAGAGACGCCCTTTTTCTTTTTGTTTAGACCCAGAGTGAGGTGTGTAAAAGCGGCAGAGCTCCGGGCTCAGGGCAGAGGTGAAGAACACTCTGTACTTTAGATTAGACTTTAAGATGAACTTTAATATTTCCATGTCTATACATCATAGAAAGAGTGAGATGAAAATGTGAAGGTCTCACTGTGAGATGGTGTTGGTGTCCAGGTCCACGCAGCTGATGTCGGCCGGGGGCACGTACAGGTCGAAGTATCGAGAGTCCACGCCCACGATGAACGGGCACGGGGCGCTCAGGACGCCCGCCAACGCCAGCGGGCACAGGGGGATGTACGGGCACGGCCAGTGGAACGGAAAGATCAACTACAACAGCACAAAGCACAAGAGAAATGTGTGAGCGGAGTGCAAAAGAGTGTGAGCGGAGTGCACAAGAGTGTGAGCGGAGTGCACAAGAGTGTGAGCGAAGTGAGAGCAAGTGAGGTGTGAGCGGAGTGAGTGTGAGCGAGTGAGTGAAGTGCACAAGAGTGTGAGCGAAGTGAGCGGAGTGAGTGTGAGCGAAGTGCACAAGAGTGTGAGCGTGAGTGAGCGGAGTGCACAAGAGTGTGAGCGAAGTGAGTGTGAGCGAAGTGAGTGTGAGCGAAGTGCACAAGAGTGTGAGCGGAGTGAGTGTGAGCGAAGTGAGAGTGTGAGCGGAGTGAGTGTGAGCGAAGTGCACAAGAGTGTGAGCGAGTGAGTGTGAGCGAAGTGAGTGTGAGCGAAGTGCACAAGAGTGTGAGCGGAGTGTGAGTGTGAGCAGATGTGAGCGAAGTGCACAAGAGTGTGAGCGAAGTGAGTGTGAGCGAAGTGAGTGTGAGCGAAGTGCACAAGAGTGTGAGGGAGTGAGTGTGAGCGAAGTGAGTGTGAGCGAAGTGCACAAGAGTGTGAGCGGAGTGAGTGTGAGCGAAGTGAGTGTGAGTGAGTGCACAAGTGTGAGTGTGAAGTGCACAAGAGTGTGAGCGGAGTGAGTGTGAGCGGAGTGAGTGTGAGCGAAGTGCACAAGAGTGTGAGCGGAGTGAGTGTGAGCGAAGTGCACAAGAGTGTGAGCGGAGTGAGTGTGAGCGAGTGAGTGTGAGCGAAGTGCACAAGAGTGTGAGCGGAGTGAGTGTGAGCGAAGTGCACAAGAGTGTGAGCGAAGTGAGTGTGAGCGCAAAGTGAGTGTGAGCGGAAGTGAGTGTGAGTTGAGTGCACAATACTGAAATATGGAAGTATCGTGCACTCTGGTGATGTCATGTTCGGCTGTTTCGATATTTCGAGGATATTTTTATTTCTTTTAGTAAATGATTCAGTGACAGAGCCACAGTTTGGAAAAAGGAAAAGTGTCTGTGCAGCACATTTTATATTTTCATCGTTTTAAACTCGTGTCTTTCAGATCAGGTTTGTGCAGGTGCTGCTTTAAAGTTTCTGCTTTATTCTCTGACCTGTTCCAAAGTCGTTTCCTCGTCACAAACCTGGAGTTGTGTTTTATTTCATTCACACGTGGAGATGTAACAGACGAATAATAAAGATTTACTCCAACATGTGAATGAAACAAACACGACTCCAGCTCTGAGTGTGTCCAGGAAACATTAGAACATTAGAACATTAGAACATGGCTGATAATGAAAAAAAAAAACAACCCAGTGAAGCATGTGCAAATGTTGTGAAACAGTAAAAGGTCCAGATCTGAGCAGAGTCCAGGTCCGTTTGTGAGGGAGGGAGGCTCTTTTCACATGAACTCAACATTACATAAGAGCACTCAGCTCCTACAGGAACAGGAGAGCGTCAGTCCAGTGTGTGTGTGTGTGTGTGTGTGTGTGTGTGTGCGTGTGTGTGCGTGTGTGCGTGGGGGTGTGTGTGCGTGTGCTGTTTTTCTTTTTGGAGACACATTTATTGTCCTTCCCGCTGTCTAAACCCGAACACACACAGACTCTGGTGAACATTTCGCAGGGAGGTTCGGACCATTAATAAAATATGAATCGAGCTGGAGATGAGTCATTTCCAGATGTCGGTTTTTACGCTCTGCAGACTCCAGGCTCCTGTCAAATGTGGATTACACTTCAAACTTTGGAAGGAGAAGAAGAAGAAATCACTTTTGTGTTAAATGGCTGAGATAAAGTCTGAAATGTTTTTGTGCAAGAAAAGAAAATCAATGAAATGAAAGGCGTTTTTATTTGCCAGAAATCCGAGAATAAAGAAAACAGACTGCGCAGTTTGAGCCTTTTTCTGGTAAATCACTAAATAAATGTGTTTCCAAAGGCCAATCTGACACTTTTGTGATTCTGTTCTGTTATATAATGTTATGTATTATAGATTTCCTCAGAGATCAGTGCATCCTTCAGGTGTCATCCTTCATTTGGTGTTTCACTTATTTAAAATGTTGTAGCACTGAGTCTCTTAGTTCACGTTCAGACTGCAGGATTTAATGCTCAGTTCGGATTTTTTTGTGGAATTTCCAATTAAATGTGACTTGTTGTGAACTTTAAACGCCCCAAAAGTGTCTCGCATGAGGATCGGAGACATGACGACGTCACACACAGAGAAACTTAAACCTGGACGCAGCATCGAGCACCTGGAGATTTTAAAGCTGCTGTGGAACCGGAGCCAGAACATGAACAGATGATTTGTTTTCAGGAGGAGACTGAGAAGGAGAAGGACGAGGTTTTTTGAACGTGGAGTTTTGTGGAGCAGCGGCAGCGACGTCCGTAGAAAAGAAACGTGTGTGTGCAGAGTCGCAGAGTGGACGACTGATCTGATCTGAGCTTCACTGCTTCATTTTAGTGAACTCTTCCTGAACAACTTTTGAAGAACTCTTCTTGGGGCAGGGTTCCTCTTCAGTAACGCAGATCTCCAGAAATTCTATCGGCTAAACTCTGGGCTTGTCTCCCAAAATCTGGTCCAGTTGTTGGTAAAATGTTCAGGTCACACATCCACGGCCGTTTTGTTTGTTTGAGTCTTTATCCTCCTTGTTTTTTCTCGCAGGATCTTTATTTTTCATTGACATTGAAGCCAGTTCCGTCTGTAGCTGCTCTCGGACATTTCAAAAACACCTGGGTCCGATAAGACGCGTCCAATTTGTCCTGAACACATCGATCCCCCCAAATATGAATGAACTCACTAACCTCACTTTCCTTCCACTGACGAGACTCTGAACCTTCCGAGCCTCAAAATTCCCTTGTCGTCCGTCGTGGTTGTGTCTTTCTTCTGTTTCCGCCTCCTTCAGCAGAACAGTGTCATTTGTTTCTTGTTGGTGACGTGTAGGCTGGACATTCAGACTGAAGTCGCGTGTCAAAAGATCAGATCTGTTTGGGTTTTAGGAGCACAGATCCAAGTGTCCTGAGTCACATTTGAAAGATCAGATACAGGAGCATTAGGGGCGTAAGAAAAATCAGATTTGGGTCACTTCAGGCTGCAGACTGAACGCAGATTAAATCACTTTTCTGCACTGAAGGAGGTGGAAACTGGAAGAAAAACACAACCACAGCGGACGACAACACAAGAGAAGTTTTGAACTCTGAAGACTCCGAGTCTCGTCAGTGGAGGGAAAGCGAGGTTAGTGAGTTCATTCATATTTGGGAGGATATCAGATAACAGAACCAGATGGTTTTTGAAATGAAAGCTAAAGAAATGTCCGAGCGCAGCTACAGGTGTCCTGGCTCCAGTGTCAACGAAAATAAAGATCCTGCGAGAAAAAACAAGGAGGATAAAGACTCAAACAAACGTGTGACCTGTTCATTTTACCAACAACTGGACCAGATTTTAGGAGACAAGCTCAGAGTTTAGTCGATAGAATTGCTGGATATCTGCGTTACTAAAGAAGAACCCTGTCCCCGAAAAGAGTTCTTCAAATGTTGTTCACGAAGACTTCACAAAAATAGTGCATGAACTCCATGTGAGTGAAGCAGTGAAGCTCAGATCAGTCGTCCACTCTGTGACTCTGCACACACACGTTCTTTTCTCTGGACGTTGCTGCCGCTGCTCCACAAAACTCCACGACCAAAAAACCTCGTCCTTCTCCTTCTCAATCTCCTCCTGAAAACAAATCATCTGTTCATCTGTTCATGCTCTGGCTCCGGTTCGACAACAGCTTCAAAATCTCCAGGTGCTCGATGCTGCATCCATGTTTAGGTTTCTCTGTGTGTGACGTCGTCGTGTCTCCAGTGTCACATGTGGGACACTTTTGGGGCGTTTAAAGTTCACACTGGAGTCACACACAAGTCACATTTAACTGGAAATGTGAACGACCTCGCAAAAAAAAATCTGAATTGGGCATTAAGTCCTGCAGTCTGAACGTGGACTTATTTTCCATCAGGTTAAATCACTGCGGCGTCTTTGCCCCCTACAGGTCACAGGAGGGACTGACACATGTTTAAATGGTGAACGAGCAGCGCGGCTAAACGACGTGTGAAACATCCGAGTGTGTGTGTGAAGAATCCCTCAGTCGTCCAGGTATTTTCTCCTCATCCGAGTGTGTGAGACTCACAGAGACCAGAGCTTCGGTCACACTGGTCAGAACGGCCGGACGCAGCGAGTGGACCAGGATCTTATGTTCTGTGACGGCCAAAACCAGAAGAGTCACCGCGTTTTTAGGGCCCAGGTTCAACAGCAACGTCGACAGGCTCCCCCCACTAAAAACACACACAAAAACACACAATCACACACAAAAAACCCCAATCACACACAGGCTCTGTGCACTAACACAGAAACACAACAGATATAAATAAAAAATAAATAAAATACATAAAACCAGACAAATTTCTTTATTTCAGACTCAAAGTCAAAAACAACGGCTCCTGATCTAAATCCTCTGTGTATTATTAATTTTTTTAAAAACTTTTTTTTGGCATTGTTGGCAAAAGTGTGCAGTGTGTCTCCATCAGTGTTGAGCATTTTACTTTAAAAAAGTAATTAGTCACCGTTACATAATACTTGCCCCATAAAGTAACTGAGTTAGTAACTCAGTTACTGGGCTGTAAAAGTAATGAATGACTCAGTAAAGTAATTATCCTTTTATTTTTCATCTTATATACTACTGCATCAAAGAACTTTATAGTAACTGAATGACGAATAAATAAATAACCGTATTTTTCAGCAGGTATTTAACGGTATAACAGCAGTGAGACGTGAAACAAGAGACTCCGCCCACCCAACTTCTTAGCCAATCACATTGTCCCTGCTCTGTCCCTCGCGCTCCTCGCTCCTGCTGATGACGTCCGTCTGTCGCCGCATGAAACCCGACACCGCGACGCCTCATTCAACCCGACTGTAACGCGACACTTTACGACATATTTCCCCGTAACGAGAACGGCGCTGTAACGATGGGGAGAGTCATTCTTTAGATCACTCCGTTACTGAAAATGTAGCGCCGTTTTACTTAAACGCCATGATTCCCAACACTGATCACCGCGGTAACTGCTGAACATTCTGTCAGAGGCACACAGGCAAAACTCCTGACTGAAAAGGATCAGTACTTCAGTATGACAGAGTAAAAGTATCAGAAGTATCAGAGTAAAAGTGTTGTACGTACCTGAGGGGCAGCGGCGAGGACACGGGCTGACTCAGGATCAGACTGTCGTGAGGAGACAACTGTGGACACACAAAAGACACACACGTCACACAAACGTCACACAAACGTCACACATCAGTCCCGTCAATCATCACTGTTGGTGAATCTCACCTGGACCAGAATCCGAGGTCTCTGAACCGACGGAAATGGAACGTTTAACATAAAATGAGCGACGTGTCTGAGGAGAAAACACCAAGAATTAACAAAATGTACAAAGAGAAAAGAGTCAGAAACATCTACGATCTAATGTTCTAATGTTCTAATGTTCTAATGTTCTAATGTTCTAACACTGTTCCCTCGTCACACTCAGAGCTGGAGTTGTGTTTGTTTGAGTGACTCTTTATTCTGAGTCTGTCTACGTCTCCAAAACTCCAAACGCTCTGCTTCACCTTGTGATGTCATGTGTCATGTCGTGGTTTTGAAGCTTCTCTGATAAAAACAAGAACTTCCTGAATCAGTCGGTGAAACGGGCGAGTTGGTGATTGTTCATCTTCAGAGCTCAGGACGCTCACAGACGACGACCCAGAAGATCCTAAAAGACGTGAAACATCCTCTAAACTCAGAGCTTCAGCTGCTTCCATCTGGTCTGAGGCTTTTAGTCCCAAGATCTAGAACTAATCGTTTTAAAAGCTGCTTTGTTGCGTCTGCTGTCAAACTTATGAATAAATTGTGATCAATTTATCTAACAACTTGGAAAACTTATTTAATATTTACTGTGATTTTAGCCAAGTGTGATGGATGAATTTAATTAATTGTTTATGAAACAAACTGTTCTGCTCTGGAGCTCTGGAACACTTTCATTTGTGATTGTGTTTTTATTTGCGTTTTTCTTCATAATGTGGATGAATCAAATGTGAAATGTTGAACCAGCCTCAAATCTGCAAAACTAATTTACCTACGGATACGAATAAAGCGACCGAACCAAACCTAACCTAAGTTCTTAGTTGTAACCGACTCGCTGGTGCGTTGGGTTTACGTGGTTTACGTGGTTTACGTTCTCCTCTCACACATTCCACACACGCAAGACGCCGTTTACTCGACCGACGCAGCGGTTCTGAGCGACTTTTTCCTGAACTGTTGCTTCCTCGCAGTTTGCGCAAAGTTTATCGCGATGGTCGACGAGAATCAACGACCAGTTCACCGCGAAAGAAAGAAAGTCCGTGTTTTGAGGTTGCTGAAATAAGAATCGAAAGGGAAAAGGAGCGAAGACAAACTAAGGCGATTCTTGGAGATTCCTTCCAGCGATGGCGCGACTGAAGCAGACGAAGGGTCGAAAGGCTCACGTGTTGGTCGATAAATGACTTCTGGACACGAAACTTCAACAGCGATTCTAAGCGTGCAGCGGCTGAAAACGAGCATGATTTCTAGAGTGAGGAGGAGGCGGGAGGAGATGTTTCTACTGAGGGAGCGGTGGAGGAGGAGGTGACCAACATTTGAAAAAGAACAAACAGTCGCTGTGTTTTTCTTTCCTTGTAAAATCCTCTGTACAACCTTTAAATCTGAGTCTAACTAAAGTCTAAAGTCCCGTTTCTAAACCCTGAGCCTGATGTTTATAGATGTTTGTAGATGTTTGTAGATGTTTGTAGATGTTTGTAGATGTTTATAGATGTTTGTAGATGTTTATAGATGTTTGTAGATGTTTGTAGATGTTTGTAGATGTGTTGTAGATGTTTGTAGATGTTTGTAGATGTTTGTAGATGTTTGTAGATGTTTATAGATGTTTGTAGATGTTTGTAGATGTTTGTAGATGTTTGTAGATGTTTGTAGATGTTTGTAGATGTTTGTAGATGTTTGTAGATGTTTTTAGATGTTTATAGATAGATGTTGTAGATGTTTGTAGATGTTTTGTAGATGATTTTGTAGATGTTTGTAGATGTTTGTAGATGTTTGTAGATGTTTGTAGATGATGTTTGTAGATGTTTGTAGATGTTTGTAGATGTTTTTGTTTGTAGATGTTTTGTAGATGTTTGTAGATGTTTGTAGATGTTTGTAGATGTTTGTAGATGTTTGTAGATGTTTGTAGATGTTTGTAGATGTTTGTAGATGTTTGTAGATGTTTGTAGATGTTTGTAGATGTTTGTAGATGTTTGTAGAGTAGATGTTTGTTGTTTGTAGATGTTTGTAGATGTTTGTAGATGTTTGTAGATGTTTTGTAGATGTTTGTAGATGTTTTGTAGATGTTGTTGTGATAGATGTTTGTAGATGTTTGTAGATGTTTTGTAGATGTTTGTAGATGTTTGTAGATGTTTGTAGATGTTTGTAGATGTTTGTAGATGTTTGTAGATGATGTTTGTAGATGATTTTGTGGATGTTTGTAGATGATGTTTGTAGATGTTTGTAGATGTTTGTAGATGTTTAGATGTTTGTAGATGTTTTGTAGATGTTTGTAGATGTTTTGTAGATGTTTTGTAGATGTTTTGTAGATGTTTTTGTAGATGTTTGTAGATGTTTGTAGATGTTTGTAGATGTTTGTAGATGTTTGTAGATGTTTGTAGATGTTTGTAGATGTTTGTAGATGTTTGTAGATGTTTGTAGATGTTTGTAGATGTTTGTAGATGTTTGTAGATGTTTTGTGTAGATGTTTATAGATGTTTGTAGATGTTTGTAGATGTTTGTAGATGTTTGTAGATGTTTGTAGATGTTTGTAGATGTTTGTAGATGTAGATGTTTGTAGATGTTTGTAGATGTTTGTAGATGTTTTTGATGTAGATGTTTGTAGATGTTTGTAGATGTTTTTGTAGATGTTGTAGTAGATGTTTGTAGATGTTTGTAGATGTTTGTAGATGTAGATGTTTGTAGATGTTTGTAGATGTTTGTAGATGTTTGTAGATGTTTGTAGATGTTTGTAGATGTTTGTAGATGTTTGTAGATGTTTGTAGATGTTTGTAGATGTTTGTAGATGTTTGTAGATGTTTGTAGATGTTTGTAGATGTTTATAGATGTTTGTAGATGTTTGTAGATGTTTGTAGATGTTTGTAGATGTTTGTAGATGTGTTCGTAGATGTTTGTAGATGTTCTGTAGATGTTTGTAGATGTTTGTAGATGTTTGTAGATAGATGTTTGTAGATGATGTTTGTAGATGATGTTTGTAGATGTTTGTAGATGTTTGTAGATGTTTGTAGATGTTTGTAGATGTTTGTAGATGTTTGTAGATGTTTGTAGATGTTTGTAGATGTTTGTAGATGTTTGTAGATGTTTGTAGATGTTTGTAGATGTTTGTAGATGTTTGTAGATGTTTGTAGATAGATGTTCATGTTTGTAGATAGATGTTTGTAGATGTTTGTAGATGTTTGTAGATGTTTGTAGATGTTTGTAGATGTTTGTAGATGTTTGTAGATGTTTGTAGATGTTTGTAGATGTTTGTAGATGTTTGTAGATGTTTTGTAGATGTTTGTAGATGTTTTTGTAGATGTTTGTAGATGTTTGTAGATGTTTTGTAGATGTTTGTAGATGTTTGTAGATGTTTGTAGATGTTTGTAGATGTTTGTAGATGTTTGTAGATGTTTGTAGATGTTCGTAGATGTTCGTAGATGTTTGTAGATGTTTGTAGATGTTTGTAGATGTTTGTAGATGTTTGTAGATGTTTGTAGATGTTCGTAGATGTTTGTAGATGTTTGTAGATGTTTGTAGATGTTTGTAGATGTTGTAGATGTTGTAGATGTTTTAGATGATGTTTGTAGATGTTTGTAGATGTTTGTAGATGTTTGTAGATGTTTGTAGATGTTTGTAGATGTTTGTAGATGTTTGTAGATGTTTGTAGATGTTCGTGGATGTTCGTAGATGTTTGTAGATGTTGGTAGATGTTTGTAGATGTTTGTAGATGTTTGTAGATGTTTGTGAGATGTTTGTAGATGTTTGTAGATGTTTGTAGATGTTTGTAGATGTTTGTAGATGTTTGTAGATGTTTGTGGATGTTTGTAGATGTTTGTAGATGTTTGTAGATGTTCGTAGATGTTTGTAGATGTTTGTAGGAGCTGGTACTTTTCGATGGGCAGGGCGTGAGGTCCGGAGATGGAGTATCGGTAGAGGAACGTGAGGAAGCTCCTGAAGGACTGGAAGAAGGGCCAGTGCGACAGGAGGCAGATGCTCTTGTTGCTATAGAGACCACTCCCATCAGGACCGAGGCCCGAGCAGGACAGGCCCAGGTCCGAGCGCTGCCGCTGGGTCAGAACCTCCTCCGGGTACGGCTCGTAGAACTGGATCGCTGCGCCGTACACCTGCACACAAACACACACAAACACACAACATGAACACACAACATGAACACACAACATGAACACACAACCTGCACACAAACACACAACATGAACACACAACATGAACACACAACATGAACACACAACATAAACACACAACATAAACACACAACATGAACACAAACACACAACATGAACACACAACATGAACACACAACATGAACACACAACATGAACACACAACATGAACACACAACATGAACACACAACATGAACACACAACATGAACACACAACATAAACACACAACATAAAACACAAATAACACACAACATAAACACACAACATGAACACGAACACACATGCACACAAACACACAAACATGAACACACAACATGAACACACAACATGAACACAACACACAACATGAACAACATGACACAACACACAACACATGAACACACAACATGAACACACAACATGAACAACACACAACATGAACACACAACATGACACACACACATGAACACACAACATGAACAACATGAACACACACAAACACACAACATGAACACACAACATGAACACACAACCTGCACACAACACACAACATGAACACACAACATGAACACACAACATGAACACAAACACACAACATGAACACACAACATGAACACACACACACACAACATGAACACACAACATGAACACACAACATAAACACACAACATGAACACACAACACACACAAACACACAACATGAACACACAACATGAACACACAACATGAACACAAACACACAACATAAACACACAACATGAACACAAAACACAACATGAACACAAACACACAACCTCCTCTGGGTTCGGCTCGTAGAACTGGATCTCAGAGCCGTACACTTGCACACAAACACACAACACACTTGTGTGTCCAGTCTGTTTGATTCAAAACCAAAATGTTCTTTTTAAATTACTTCCAATTGTGCTGGAAGTTTTTCCTAATTTTTCCATTTTGTTTGAATTAAAATGATTTTTGTTTTGTTTTCATCATTTCGATGAAAAACAATAAAATCACAGCTGATGATTTACAAAAATGATGAAGTGTCTGAAAACTCAAACATGTTGGACATAAATGTGCACACACACACACACACACACACACACACACACACACACACACACACACACACACACACACACACACACACACACACACACACACACACACGTGTCGGGTCCAGGACACGATGCTCAGAACCAGAGACGGAGACTTTAAAACAATGACGAGTTTAAAAAGATCTTTTTCATTGTCGTTTCTTTCATATTTGGGACGTGAAAATAAAATTCTTCTGTTTATTGTAAAATCCATTTGTGCCGAGACAAAAGAAGCAACCGCAGAAACGCAGAGTCAGAAAACTATTTTCTGTGTCCTGCATTATTAAACAGGTCAGAACAAGGCTCACACACACACACACACACACACACACACACACACACACACACACAGACACACACACAGACACACACACACACTACACACACACACACACACACACACACACACACACACACACACACACACACACACACACACACACACACACACACACACACACACACACACACACACACACACACACACACACACACACACACACACACACACACACACACACACACACACACACACACACACACACACACACACACACACACACACACACACACACACACACACACACACACACAGACACACACACACACACACACACACACACAGACACACACACACACACACACACACACACACACAGACACACACACACACACACACACACACACACACACACACACACACACACACACACACACACACAGACACACACACACACACACACACACACACACACACACACACACACACACACACACACACACACACACACACACACACACAGACACACACACACACACACACACACACACACACACACACACACACTCACACACACACACACACACACACACAGACACACACACAGACACACACACACACACACTACACACACACACACACACACACACACACACACACACACACACACACACACACACACACACACACACACACACACACACACAGACACACACACACACACACACACACTCACACACACACACACACACACACACAGCACACACACACACACACACACTACACACACACACACACACACACACACACTAACACACACACACACACACACACACACACACACACACACACACACACACACACACACACACACACACACACACACACACACACACAGACACACACACACACACACACACACACACAGACACACACACACTAACACACACACTAACACACACACACAGACACACACACACTAACACACACACACACACACACACAAACCCAGACACACACACTCTTGTGTTTTCTGCACTGACTCAGACACTTTCAGATTCTCCTGAGAAAACAGAACATGTTCAGATGTTCTGCTCCAACAGAACCTCCTCAGAACTCAGAGTCAGATTTGTGAAATAAAACACCTCTAATGTGAACATCATCAGTTTATACCTTTAAATCATGTTTAAATCATGTTTAAATCACGTTTAAATCACGTTTAAATCACGTTTAAATCATGTTTAAATCATGTTTAAATCACGTTTAAATCATGTTTAAATCATGTTTAAATCATGTTTAAATCATGTTTAAATCACGTTTAAATCACGTTTAATCATGTTTAAATCCTGTTTAAATCATGGGTTTAAATCATGTTTAAATCACGTTTGAAATCTGATGGTTGGTCTGAGTCTGATGGGTTTTGGTCTGAGGTCCTGGGTTTTGAGTCTGAATCTGAGTCGTCTGGTCTGAGTCTGAGGTCTGATCTGAGTCTGAGTCTGGGTTTTGGTCTGAGTCTGAGTCTGAGTCTGGGTTTTTGGGTCTGAGTCTGGGTTTTGGTCTGAGTCTGGGGGTCTGAGTCTGGGTTTTGGTCTGAGTCTGGGTTTTGGTCTGAGTCTGGGTTTTGGTCTGAGTCTGGGTTTTGGTCTGAGTCTGGGTTTTGGGTCTGAGTCTGGGTTTTGGTCTGAGTCTGGGTTTTGGTCTGAGTCTGGGTTGAGTCTGGGTTTTGGTCTGAGTCTGGGTTTTGGTCTGAGTCTGGGTTTTGGTCTGAGTCTGGGTTTTGGTCTGAGTCTGGGTTTTGGGTCTGAGTCTGGGTTTGGTCTGAGTCTGGGTTTTGGGTCTGAGTCTGGGTTTTGGGTCTGAGTCTGGGTCTGGGTCTGAGTCTGGGTTTTGGTCTGAGTCTGGGTTTTGGGTCTGAGTCTGGGTTTTGGTCTGAGTCTGGGTTTTGGGTCTGAGTCTGGGTTTTTGGTCTGAGTCTGGGTTTTGGTCTGAGTCTGGGTTTTGGTCTGAGTCTGGGTTTTGGTCTGAGTCTGGGTGGATCTGCAGTGTCTGATGACATCTCACAGTGTTTGTTTTCTCTACAAACGTCTCATGTTTAACACAGCAGCTCTTCTGCTGCAGTCGCACTCGGAGCTTCTCTGTCTCTGAGTGAAACACCAGATGCCCTCCCAGCATCACATGATCAGACACACATCACAAAATCAGACCAAACAAGTGAGTTCAGATGTCACCAAACTCTGTCGCTGCATTAAACAGTTTGAACACGACGTTTGAGTTTGTGCTTTTGTTGACATTAGCGATGCGCACACGTTAGCAACATTAGCATAACATTAGCATCATACAAACACACACACACACACACACACACACAGGAGGAGCGACTAAAGGCAAACACACACGTCCCATCAGTGTTTGAAGTGTCAGATTAAACTTGTCCAAACACTCGGGGGGCGGAGTCACGTTTGGTTTTCAGACTCAGACTCTGAGATTCTGAGTCTGAACAACAGAACAGACGAGTCTCCGCCCCCTGAGCGTGACATCAGCACGTTCTCGTCGCGACGGGACTCTCGGCTCATTTACGGGATCTGAATCTTCTGGACTCATTCACTTTAAAAGAGTCGTTCAGAAGATCGGCTCTTTAAATATTTATTTGTAACAGAATCAAGTGTGAGAACGAATTTAATCCACAAACGAATCACAGACAAACACGACTCAGATCAGATCTGTTTAAATCTGTTCCCTTTTGAAATGATGAAGAATCTTAATAAAATATTCCACTATAGTAATAATAATTTAAAATCAAACTGTTCTTATGATGCCACGTGTGTGTTTTTGTGCACAGCTCTCACTCTCAAAATGAGCCTCGTTTCTAAGTGTTCACATGAAGGAGCCGTTCAAAAGAGCCAAACGTTCACGAGAGCCACATCAGCAAAACACCAATGAGAACAAGAAAAAGAGCAGAGACTGACCTTTTCCCCCGAGGCTCCGGTCAGGACGAAGGTGGAGAAGACGGGCAGCGAGTGTTTGGTGTGGTGAGGCCAGCACTCGATGGTGGCGCCCATGGGCAAACAGAACATGGGCACAGACTCGGGCAGAGGGAAGGACTCGTAATCGTCCTCGGGGTAACGGCACAGCAGACCTGCCCACGGCAAACACAACAACAGCTACAGAAACCGCGGCACCATGCAGAACTGTTCAACGTTTCACTCTCAGTCTGGTCATTTTCAGGTTTACAGTTTTAACTCAGTTTGTAATTCCGTCCTGGTTACTAAGCAACCAACATGAGTTTAAATATGAGAAGAGCTTCACCTGCTTTGTACGCGATGGTGTTCGCTTTGGCCAAAGACTTCTTATAACAAAGGTACACGGACGAGCCCCACTGAAACAACAAACACAGTTTAATCATTTATTGTGTGTCATTTATTGTGTGTTATTTATTGTGCGTCACAGAGGTCATGTTCAGACTGCAGGGTTTGATGCTCAGTTCAGATTTTTTTGTGAAAAGTCGTTCACATTTCCAGTTAAACGTGTCTTGTGAGTGATCTCCAGTGTGAACTTTAAACGCTCCAAATGTGTCCCGCATGTGCACTGGACAAAACGACGACGTCACACGAGGTTTGGGCGGTATCCAAATTTTGATACCGTTAAACCTTCTCGGGATTTTACCAGGGTAAACGGTATTACCAAAATGTTTTAGTACGACTTTGGTAAATTACGAAGCCGCACCACTGTACAGTCTACAGTCTCCAACGCGGTACACACACAGAACAAACTCACCATCAGCAGAACACCCCTCTGTCACAGAGAGAACACTCATATTCCACTGAGTCGTGTCCTTTAGTCCAACAGAAACTGAACCACATCAGACACAAGGAAAGAACTGTTTTTATCAGCGCTCTATAATTTATGTAAATGAGTCATGTGGTTTTAATTTTTGTTTCTGTAAAATGTAAACAAATGTGGCCTGGAGACAAAATGCTGCCAAATTCACAAGTAGCAGAAGTACTTTTTTTGGACCAACTCTCTTGCGGTCGGACTTGTCGTCTTGTCTTGTTTCTCTTATGAGCGTCACGTGACAATGGAACAAAACTAATCGAACGTCGTCTCCCCACACATGTTAAAGAAACATTATAGACACTTTTACTTTTAAACCGTGAAACATTAAACTGAAAATGTAACCACACATTTATTTGTGCTGAGCAAACTAATGTAGGGAACAATAAATGATAATATTATAGTAGGGTCCTTATGCACTGCAGTTATTGATGCTGTTGCCTCTTTTTGATACTGCGGGAAACTGTAATAACGTAATACCGCCCAACCCAACGTCACACACAGCGAGCGTCATCAGTGTTTACGGAAGTCGCCTAAACTCTGGGCTCGGTAATTCTGGTAATTCTTTTTTTCGCTTCATTTGTTTTGAGTCTTTATTCTTTATCCTTTTCTCGCAAGCTCTATATTTTTCATTGACACTGGAGCCAGGAACGTCTGTAACTGCGCTCATTTCTTTGACAATTATTTCAAAAACCACCCAAGATGCCTCCAATTTGTCCTGAATACAGCGCTCCTCCCAAACATGAATGAACTCGCTAACCTCAACGAGACCCCGAGCCTCCGAGACGTGAAGTCGCATGTTAAAGATCAGATATGTTTGAGTTTTAGAAGCACAGATCCAAGTGTCGAAAAGCTCAGATCTATGTCATTAAAAGATCAGATACAGGAGCGTAATGGTGAGAAAATCAGATTTGTGTCCTTCATGCTGCAGTCTGAACGTGGTCTTGTCGTGTGTCATGTCACGGTGGTGCAGACAGGGGGCGCACCATGCTGCTGTTGAGGTTCTTGTCCACTTTGCAGAAGGTGTGGGGGGGGCTCTCTCCTTTGCCGGGCACGATGATGCAGACGTCGGTGAGGGCGAGGGACGTGTGGGGCTGGCTCTTGGGCGCGCGGCGGTACGTGATGTAGATCCTCTGAGACGACGAGCTGCTGATGTTCGCCGGGCGACCTGAGGGCGTCGTCTGCACGATGTGACAGCCCGACTTCAGCTTCTCCTTCCACTCGTACAGCACCCTGAGGAGCACAGGAGAAGAACATCTACAGTGTCACTCTGATCCACCTTCACTACGATCATCTGGATCTACGGAAGCCGAGAGGATCACAACAAACGCAAACGGCTGCAAAAAAATACAAACGCGACAACACAACAAAAAAAGCCACAACAAACCAAAAAAAAGCCACAACACACCACAAAAAGCCACAACGGAAATGACCGCGGGCCTCTATTTTAATACAAACGCCGCAACACAAACGCAAAAGCCACGACACATTAAAAAGTCACAACGGAAATGACCGCAGGACTCTATTTTGCGACGGACCGATCAAGCGGCAAGTGAAGAAGAAGAACTACAACATGAAAAGTAAAGGAACGGAGAAGTTGGAAACGTAAGTAAAAGTAATTTATTGTTTTATCATTATTCACTTCATGTTGTAGTTCTTCTTCTTCACTTGCCGCTCGATCGGTCCGTCGGAAAATAGAGTCCCGCGGTCACTTCCGTTGTGGCTTTTTAATGTGTTGTGGCTTTTTTAATGTGTTGCGGCATTTGCGTTTGTGTTGTGGCGTTTGTATTCATTGCGTGTTTGCATTAAAATAGAGTCCTGCGGTCATTTCCGTTGTGGCTTTTTTTGATGTGTTGTGGCTTTTTGATGTGTTGTGTCTTTTTTAATGTGTTGTTTTGGCTTTTTAAATGTGTTGTGGCTTTTTAATGTGTTGTGGCTTTTTGATGTGTTGTGGCTTTTTAATGTGTTGTGTCTTTTTTAATGTGTTGTGGCTTTTTAACGTGTTGTGTCTTTTTAATGTGTTGTGTCTTTTTAATGTGTTGTGTCTTTTTGATGTGTTGTGCTTTTTAATGTGTTGTGTCTTTTTTATGTGTTGTGCTTTTTAATGTGTTGTGTCTTTTTATGTGTTGTGTCTTTTTAATGTGTTGTGCCTTTTTAACGTGTTGTGTCTTTTTTATGTGTTGTGGCTTTTTGGTGTGTTGTGGCATTAGCGCTTGTTGCGGCGTTTGCATTAAAATAGAGTCCCGCGGTCATTTCCGTTGTGGCTTTTTTTGGTGTGTTGTGGCTTTTTGTTGTGTTGCCGCATTTGTATTTGTTGCGGCGTTTGCGTTTGTTGCGACCCCTGTCGGCTTCCGTATGGATCATTTTAACCCTCAAATTCACAATCTCTGCAGAAGATACGAGGAGCTGCTCACTTGAAAACCACCACTTCATGACATCACAAGGTGGAACAGAGCATTTGGAGATGTAAACAGACTCATAATAAAGAGGAGTCGTGGTCATGTGAGTCAGGTTTCTGTGCTACAGGAGCTTTAATGTGCAGTAAACTGTATAATATTCACATTATGCAGTAAATTATTCAATAGTTTCAAGTATGAGTCACTCGGCAAAATGTCTGAATTTGAATGAGTAAAACTAATGGAGCAGGTTCTGTGGTGAATAATGGAAAAGTGAACTCCTGTGAGCTCGGACTCCGCTGCGAGGAAATGACCGTTACTTTTAAAGTAGAAAGAAAAGAAAAAACAAGAACATGACTTAAACCAGGACTCGAGGATCTGACCAAAATAATCAGACTTTTTCTCTACGTAATCTCTTAATCTAATCAAGTCAATTAGACAAAACGCACTTTAATTATTGTAATTTACAAGAAAAATACACATATTCTGAAGGATTTTACTCACAGAGGACCGACTCAAGCCTGCAGGAAGAAACTCCAACTATAAATCACACAAAACCAACTCCTGCGAGGTTTAAGTCAAGTTCAAATGTTTTTCCTCTTCAGAATAAGAGCTGGAGTTGTGTTTGTTTCATTCACATGTTTGAGTAACTCTTTATTTTACTCTGTTCTACCTTGTGATGTCATGAAGTGGTAGTTTAAGTGAACAGTTCCTTTAGGTCTGTAGAGATCATTAGTCTGATTCATGAGCTGGTTTCACTTGGTGGAAACCGTGTGACCTGCAGCATTAGGATTCGTTCACTCAACAGTAGACGGGACTTTTTAAAATTTAACCAATCGCTGCTGTTTGGTCGTGACGTTTGTAAAGCTCCAAATCCTGTGGGAAGAAGAACAATAACGTCTTTCCCCGAGACCAAATTCACCAAACATTCTCTTTGTTCAGACTTTAAATCCTCTGGGATCTCGGGAATCGTCGCCAACACAGAATGTCTGTCTCTTCTCTGATTGGCTGGAGCCTGAACTCACACTTCTGGAGTTTTTGCGAATCGTCCAGTGACCAGAGTTTCGCGTCATGGGTCGATTCCTGATCTAGTCGCTGAAGAGAAATGAAACTAAGCGGAGGCACTAGGTTCACCAGACTGACTAAAAGATCAGCAACTCCAGGACTGAAATGATCCAGATGATTCTAGTGAAGGTGTGTGGAGTTTAAAAACACAGAGGAGCACTTCCTGTATCACCACATGATGACATCACAAAGTGGAACAGAGTGTTTTCAGTTTGAGAGAAGAACTCAGTCTAAATCTGCAGGATTTATGTGTTAAATGTGTGAATGAAACAAAACACAAGTCCAGGTAGAAAAGAGATCAGAAAACTGTGAGCTGGGCCTTTAATGGAACAACACTAAAGTATCAAATATTTTATTTATTTATTTATTTATTTACTGAATAGGGACAGTTTATATTAATGAACATCTACAACACTGCAGAGTAAATGTGACAGATTATAACAAATTTATAAAAAAGTCCCTCGGAAACACCACAAATTTAACAAAAAAAAGAATAACAAGTGACAAGCCGCTGTATACTATTTACTCGAGTACTGCTGTATACTGTGAGTATAATATTTACTCGAGTACTGCTGTATACTGTGAGTATAATATTTACTCGAGTACTGCTGTATACTGTGAGTATAATATTTACTCGAGTACTGCTGTAGTATTTTCATGTTACCGTTTGAAGATGTAAAATTCAAATAAACTGTAAATTTGAAAAAAAAAAAAAATAATAATAATCTTAGTGTAAAATAAGACCAAAGTGTGTCAGAGTCACTGTGTGTCAGAGTACAGCGGGAGTGTATTCGAGTACAGTATGTGAGTACAGTATGTGAGTACAGTATGTGAGTACAGTGGGTGTGTACTCGAGTACAGTAGGAGCAGAGTGAGACAGTGTGAGTATTCGAGTACAGCAGCAGAGTGTATTCGAGTATTCAACCCAAAACCTGCTCCAGGTCCAGAACAGTTGATAGTCAAGGTCAGTTAAACACAATCAATTCAATCGTTGTGTCCTTAGGCAAGACACTTCACCCACATTGCCTAGTATGAAAGTGGTGTGTGTGTGTGTGTGTGTACGTCTGTGTGTGTCTGTGTGTGTATGTGTATGTGTGTGTGTGCGTGTGTGTGTACGTCTGTGTGTGTGTGTATGTCTGTGTGCGTGTATGTATGTTGTGTGTGTGAGTGTGTGTATGTGTATGTGTGTGTGCATGTGTGCGTCTGTGTGTGTGTGTGTGTGAGTGTGTGTTGTGCGTCTGTGTGTGTATGTGTGTGTGTGTGTGTGTGAGTGTGTCTGTGAGTGTGTGCATGTGTGCGTCTGTGTGTGTATGTGTGTGTGTGTGTGTGCATTGTGCGTCTGTGTGTGTGTGTGTGTGTGTGAGTGTGTGTGTGCGTCTGTGTGTGTATGTGTGTGTGTGTGTGTGTGTGTGTGTGTACGTCTGTGTGTGTGTGTATGTGTGTGTGTGTGTGTGTGTGTGTGTGTGTGTGTGTGTGTGTGTGTGTCGTGTGTGTGTGTGTGTGTGTGTGTGTGTATGTGTGTGTGTGTGTGTGTGTGTGTGTGTGTGTGTGTGTGTGTGTGTGTGTGTGTGTGTGTGTGTGTGTGTGTGTGTGTGTGTGCGTGTGTGTGTGTCTGTGTGTGTGTGTATGTCTGTGTGCGTGTGTGTATGTGTGTGTGTGTGCAGATTAGAGCAGCAGTGATTAGTGCAGGTCAGGGTGGATTACCCCAGGTCTGTCAGAGGAGGTTTATCTCGTCCTCGTCTGAAGCACAGGAAGATCTGCTGCCCCCTGAGACTGGCTCCGTTCAGCTCGGCCGACAGTCCGGACGGCGTGTTCTCCACGCAGGTGAAACCCGCCGGCACCTCCTCGCCCAGGGACCGGATCACCACCGCCACGTCCGTGATGGGGGCTTTGGGCCGAGCCGCCCGCGGGGAAACGTCGTCCCAGTGCGGCCCCTCCTCCTGAGGTGTGGGAGACTCCGAGAGGCCGGTCTCCAGGGGTGTGGGAGACTCTGTGAGGCCAGCCACCACAAAGTAGTCGGCTACACGAGGCCCTTTATCCTCCATCATGGAACATTCCCCCTCAGCTGCAAACACGACACACAAAGAGACACAAAGACACAAAGAGACAGTTACATCAGGCCGTGTTCAGAGAGCGTGGCATTTAGCACTGAATGTCGTTTACAGATGTGTGGGGTGTGGTTACAGGTGTGTGGGGTGTGGTTACAGGTGTGTGGGGTGTGGTTACAGGGTGTGGTTACAGGTGGTGTGTGGGGTGTGGTTACAGGTGTGTGGGGTGTGGTTACAGGTGTGTGGGGTGTGGTTACAGGTGTGGTGGTGTGTGGGGTGTGGTTACAGGTGTGTGGGTGTGGTTACAGGTGTGTGGGGTGTGGTTACAGGTGTGTGGGGTGTGGTTACAGGTGTGTGGGGTGTGGTTACGTGGGGTGTGGTTACGTGTGAGGTGTGGTTACAGGTGTGGTTACAGGGGTGTGTGGGTGTGGTTACAGGTGTGTGTGGTTACAGGTGTGTGGGGTGTGTGTGGTTACTGTGGGGTGTGGTTACAGGTGTGTGGGGTGTGGTTACAGGTGTGTGGGGTGTGGTTACAGGTGTGTGAGGTGTGGTTACAGGTGTGTGAGGTGTGGGGCAGTGTGTTCTGTGAGGAACCAGGACAGTCGTCGGCTCGAGGTCAGTGGAACAAAGCTCTGTTCTTTTTAAAGCTCCTAAATCTCACAAACCGACCCTGAGCTTTAACTCATGTTCTAATGTTCTAATGTTCTAATGTTCTAATCAGGGCCTGACCAGTGTGGAATGTTTGCAGCTGATATGATTCAGATAAAACAGGAGTTGGAGGAGTTGATATAAAAGCTGATATATTTACTTAGTGATGTAAAATTCACTGTAAATCTTCAGTTGATTATAAAACTTTGACTTAGGTTTGGTTCGACTGGATTTAAATTAATTTTGTTTAGGCGACGTTTCCTGTTTTTCTGTCTCTTTACGTCAGATTTAAAGACAGGACTTTGGACTAAAAGCATTTTGGTATCACATTCTGACCTGTACAGAAAATAAGTAAACCGGCACTGTCAGCTTTAGAGATGATCATAAATGTGTGCACCGCTGTAATTAATGATATGTGTAAATGTGGATCATTCACACGTATGTTCACGTCTCATTCACACATCAGTGCAGGTCCAGTCACATGTGCAGACTCTAGAGTCACTTTACACCAGAACAATGTCAGAAAACAAACTGTTTATGTGGAGCTACAGCAGATAAACAATGAGAAAGAACCAAAACCCTCACACAGGCTCCTCTCAGATCACAAGTCTGAACTCATAAGTTTGATAAAAACTGTAGCTGTAGTTTTCTTTCTTGCCTAAACTGAGCTGAAGTTCACTTTTATTTCTCGTCAGTTTTGTGGCTCAGACACAAGAGCGTTTAAAGCAGCGCCTCAGGATATGTGGATCTACAGCTGTGCACAGGTGTAAACAAGCGCTCGTGAGTGACTCTGGGGGTGTGTTCAGGGGCAGTATGACGTTACAGACACAGACAAATGATAAATCTGTGGAAGTGCCACTAATTAGGACATTTATCTGTCTGTAAATTGGATTAAATGGACAAAATATAGAGAGTCTAATCTTCATAACGAGGTGTAACTGCCCACACGGACTATCGGCCCAGATCGATAAGATTTAGACCGATACCGATACTGATATGTCTCCAATATATCGGCCAGGCCCAAGTTCTAATGTTCCTGGTCACACTCAGAGCTGGAGTTGTGTTTGTTTGAGTAAATCTTTATTATGAGTCTGTTACATCTCCAAAACTCCAAACTCTCTGCTCCACCTTGTGATGTCATCAAGTGATAAAGTTTTCAAGTTCTCAGATCCTTTTCCCTTCAGTCAAGATCGGTAAAGAAATTCCAGGACTGAAATGATCCAGATGATTCTAGTGAAGGTGTGTGGAGTTTAAAAACACAGTGGAGCACTTCCTGTATCACCACATGATGACATCACAAGGTGGAACAGGGTGATTTCAGTTTGAGAGAAGAATTTAAACTGAAAAACTGTGCAGGTTTGTGTGTTAAACCATGTGAATGAAACAAAAAAAACACAACTCCAGAGCAGAGAACAAGAGTCATGAGACATTTAAATAAACGAATAATAAATGCATCAATAAATAAATAAAAACTCCTAATATATTTTAATATATGATAATAAAAGTGCAGATTATAAATGTGACTCTGCAGCCTGTAAACGCAGCAGGTTTATTCTGCGGTTGAAAAACACTGGAGGCGGTTTGTGTTTGGCCTCGTTTCTCTGCAGCTGGAGACAGATCTGTCATCGGACGCTCAGAGGGTCGATATATCGCTCAAGAAAATATAAACGATAAACCTGAACGTGATTACACCAAAATAACCATAAAGTCAATAAATGTTCCTGACATCATCAAGTCTGAGTCTGAGTCTGAACACGACGCCTCCTTCAGTTTAAATCACTCGAGAACAAACCAAACATCTGCTCCAGCTCCTCACCTCTGCCTCTGAAACCGCTCTGCAACGGCTTTTCAAAATAAAAGACTCTGCAACGGCTTTTCAAAATAAAAGACTCTGCAACGGCTTTTGCAAAATAAAAGACTCTGCAACGGCTTTTCAAAATAAAAGACTCTGCAACGGCTTTTGAAAATAAAAGACTCTGCAACGGCTTTTCAAAATAAAAGACTCTCCAACGGCTTTTCAAAATAAAAGACTCTGCAACGGCTTTTCAAAATAAAACACTCTGCAACGGCTTTTCAAAATAAAACACTCTGCATTAATTGTACAAAATAAGAGACTCTGCAACAGCTTTTCAAAATAAGAGACTCTGCAAAAAGCTTTTCAAATTAAAAGACTCTGCATCAGATTTTCAAAATAAAATACTCTCTATTAGATTTTCAAAATAAAAAAACTCTGCAACAAATTTTCTAAATAAAAGACTCTACATCAGCTTTTCAAAATAAGAGACTCTGCGTCAGCTTTTCAAAATAAGAAACTCTGCAACGGCTTTTCAAAATAAAAGACTGCATCAGCTTTTGAAAATAAGAGACTCTGCAACAGATTTTCAAAATAAGAGACTGTGCTTCTGCTTTTCAAAATAAAAGACTGCATCAGCTTTTTAAAATAAAAGACTCTGAAACAGCTCTACAAAATAAAAGACTCTGCATAAGCTTTTCAAAATAAGAGTCTATATCAGCTTTTCAAAATAAAAGACTCTAAATCAGCTTTTCAAAATAAGAGCCTCTACATAAGGATTACAAAATAAGAGCTCTCCTTGGCACATCTGGCTCGTGTTAAGTACATTCCCGACGTTCCGTTTGGCAGTGAAATACGGTGGCGGCGGCGGCGGCGGCGGCGGCGGCGTTGGTGACCTCGCTCGCGCTCGAACCCCGGGATGTTATGTAAAAGAAAACAGAGTTTGTGGGAGAAATGGGAGGACGTGTGTTTGAGCACCCAGAGGTGCTGCTCCCTCCAGGACGAGAAGTGAGCCAGAACAGCTGCGCCAGATTTAAACGAAAACTATTAAGAGTCAAACGACGACGAGGAGGAGGACGAGGAGGAGGAACGCTAACACCAGGCACTTCTCACTGTCTGCACTCACACACACACACACACACACACACACTGACACACACACACACACACTGACACACACACACTGACACACACACACACACACACACACACACACACACACACACACACTGACACACACACACTGACACACACACACACACACACACACACACACTGACACACACACACACACACACACACACACACTGACACACACACACACACACACACACACACACACACTGACACACACACACACTGCACACACACACACACACACACTGACACACACACACACACACACACACACACACTTTTAACGACACACGTACAGGAGGAATAATGTGATCTAGTGTCTCTGCACACACAGTATAAACAGTCTGATGTAATAATGTGGAGACGTTTGTGTCAGTGTCGTACGGTGCAGGTCTCTGGTTCTTTCATGTTGATGTCGATTATTTAGAATCCAGAGAAACGATAAACTCGATATTATTTACAGTCGATATAATCGGCCGATATGTGGGTCAGAGTTTTATATTTAAAGTTCTTACATGACACAAAAGTGACTCATTGTGTCACTTTTCTGGTGGAGCTTCTGTTAAACACTTTTCTCTGTACTGATTTGTCAAAGTCTGATCCCGTCAGAGTCTGGTCCTGGTCTGGGTCTGGGTCCTGGTCTGGGTCTGGGTCTGGGTCCTGGTCTGGGTCTGGGTCCTGGTCTGGGTCTGGGTCTGGGTCTGGGTCTGGGTCCTGGTCTGGGTCTGGGTCCTGGTCTGGACTTGGATGAGACTCTGGGAAAGTCAGGAGCCACAGGAGGCGCCAGTCATAAAAACTGTTTTTGTGTCCTTAGGCAAGACACTTCACCCTCATTGCCTAGTGTGACAGTGGTGTGTGTGTGAGTGATGGTGGTCAGAGGGACCGATGGCACAGATCTGCAGCCTCGCTTCTGTCAATCTGCCCCAGGGCAGCTGTGGCTACAGCAGTAGTTTAAAACCACCGGGTCTGGAGTGAATGAATCATAAACTGTCAGGCGTCTTTGAGTGTCCAAAAAAGCACTTTATAAAACTGATGCATTATTATGAAGATGTTATTGTTTTGTCTGGAATGTTCCACAGTGTGGCATTAAACCAGACCAAACCAGACCAAGAGACAGGTCAGATCTGTGGAGAGGCGACCCTGCTCACAGTCAGGCTTCGTTTACACAGAGTCAGTGTGTTGAGAAACTAATATTTTCCCTCCGTTTTCCAAAATCACATTGTGCAGCATCGTTTTCAAAAAAGTTTTCGTTTACATCGACCTGAATAAATCAAACATCGTCAGAACGACACCGAGTCTCTGGGCAGAACTGGATCAGACTCAAACCTGTAGCTTTTATTTCATTACAGTTGTAAGTTTGACTCACAAACACGTTCAAAATGGAGCATTAGTGAGCGGCTCGCCTCTCCACAGATCTGATACAGCCTCATGTGTCTCTGCTCATGGATCTGAAACATCAGCTGTGTGAAAATGAAACA